TCAAATCCTCAAGACTCTTGGCTCAACTCCCAATTGGTGAATTGAAGAAGGCTTTGCCAAAAAAGGTCACCAGCTTTTTTGGGGGCTGCAAACCACTCGTTTGGCCAAAAATATGGCGGTTTTGGTCGTAGCTCACCTGCAATCCAATGCCACCCAGCAGCTGATGCCGCCGACCTGTCGCAATCCGCACCACCGCCCAACTACAGCTGGAAGTGGTCAAATATCCTGCAAAAACACGTGCGGAGTAGGCGTTCAAGCGGCGTGTAGAAGTGTACTTACGGTGGCGTGAAGAGGTCTTGTGTGAAGTCCGGGGTGTCTGGGCCGGTGGGTCTGATTTCCAACTCAACTGGAAGCCTCAACAACCTAAGTTGGCGCAGCATGGCTCAGCATGGTGTTGGTCAATTGGTCATCTTATTGTTGAAAAAACATCCTTTGTCATGAAGAACTCTCCAGCTAATCTCGCCAGATTTTTAGCCTTGCTGGGCAAAGCATGAACCCGGGTTTCTAAGCAGGTCACTTGACTCGTCTTGACGTAGTTTGTTCAAGTGGCTTCACCCAACTGGCGGTTGGCCGCTGCAAGCACTCTTTGTTGGCCTCCTTTCAAGGCCTTGACTGAGGAAGGAGGACGGAGTGGGAAAGGGATGTAAAAGGGAGGGGGGTGAAGTTACTGAAGATCTCAACATCTCCCAACCACTGCCGCCGTCCATTTCGTGTCAAGCATCCCAGCGCCCAGTTCTTCACCACGCTTCGACTGGGCTTCCCTCGCCCGGAAGCGCGGCTGCGGCCCCCAGCATCGCTCCAAAGGACACCGCTGGAGATCACGGACAGAGCTGAGCCAAAGCCATGGCACAACACCAGGTACTCACGAAGGACGTCGCCTGAGAGCGGCGGCCACAGCAAGCGAAAAAGAGAAGGACCCATCTGCCCCGGCCCCCAAGGCAGCTAGCTGTGCCGTGTGATGGCCGTAGCTCGCACGATTGGGAGCTTTAAGATTTCCAACCCTGAGTTTCCAAAGGCGCCTGGACCCTTTAAAGTATCTTAAAGTATATCAAGCCAGCAGAACAACAAGTACACGACGTGAACGACATGAATGTAAAGCATGGTCCGCCCAAAAGTGACTTCCTCGACACGAGGCGATCAAAGCCCAGGTGCCTTGGGAGGCTATAGCTCAATCAATGACATCCTTTTGGGGGATGATGATGATAGAGGAATCAGTTTGGTACCGGTTGTGCACTTGAGGATGATCCGGGCATCTCCTCCATCAACCGACCAATAGCAAAAGGCAATCTATAAAATAGATTCCGTGCTCCGAGTCACCGTTGGCCAGCTGCACCCTGAGGTCGTAATAGGATTCGTAGCTGCAGGCGGCCAAAATGAGTCCTTTGGGGCAAAGGTGAAGGCCCCAATATGCCCCAATTCTTGTTGACTTGAAAACAATTCCTATTCAAAGATCGGCCCGATATGGCCCGCCCCTTGTCCTGAGCTTGGCACATCCAAGCGATGCAAAAAGCCAAAGGTGGCCCTGGCGTCCTGGAAGATGGGTCGTGGACCTGGGAGTCAGCTCAGTGGACAACAAAGAGACCAAACACCAAAATGGAGGTCACCAGGGAAGCAAGTAGCAAGTCTTGCACACTAGTCTTAAACCATCTTAAACCCGCCAAGTTCACCGAGGAGGACTTTAGGGTGTCAGGATGCTTCAGAGGTTTATCTTGTTGCCTTTGATTCTACGCGGGGCAAAGTGACGCGGCGATCATCTATCATACGCAGTCGTGTGCAGCAAACTCCACGGTCAAAGCTTCCCAGCAGTCACCACACAAATCAAGATCCAAGACCCAGTTGGCTCTTTTACAGTACTGTACTTCTTCGGATCACATAGCTACTGTAGATGATGTCAACTTGTGTGGATGTGGGTGTATCTGGAGAGGAAAACCAACGTCAACAGCCATCCGACACGGCGAATAGCCCGAGGACGGAGCCATCAGGACGTCAATAGCCCGAGGCGCCCAGGATGCGGATCAAGAACGCACAAAGGCTCGAAGATCCGCTCCTCAGCTCTTCCATCTCAAATCAGCCGGTGCGACCAAACAAGCCTGGTGGGGACAAAGTCAAGGCCAGTGCGAAACCCAACACGAGGAATGGCTGGAAAAAGAGCAACGTTTGGCCTTAACAACAAGAAGCTACTAGTAACAAATGGCATTTCTACTAGGAGCAAGGACGCTACTAGTAGCTCCTGGCCTTACTACTAGGAGCAAGAAGCTACTAGTAACAAAGGGCATCGCTACTAGTAGCTAGCTCTAAGTTCGCCACCGCCGACCCGACGATCGCACCGGGCTCTCACGAAAAGACCACGAACGATCCCGTCGGATCTTCCACTTCCACACGGCAAGGGGCGGGTTTTCCACTTCCCAGCCGCTCGGCTTAAAGATCATCAGCTTTTCGTCGAAGTGGAGGGCTTCCGGAGGGTCCCTTGGAACCCAAATCCGTCCACAGTCTCGATCTTGTACCCTCATGGGCGCCTGGCGAAGCATATGCCGTGAGCAACCTGGTTGGTACGCAGTTCGGAAGCCAGCCTCCTGCACCGCTGAAGGCTGCGAGGTCTCCTGAAGGCTGCGAGGTCTCCATGAGCATTGACGTCACTAAGGAGCTATGACCATCTGCCATCTTGAGGTAGACCTTTAGAGGGTGTTTGAGAACTTGTTTTCTGGTTGGCATCCTCAACCAAATTGGGCAAAGTGATAAATTCATGCTAAAACCAAAGACCTGGCACGCGAAGACCTGTGCGCGACATCTTAGACCTGCAAAGGCCTACAATACCATTGTGACATAACACAGATGACTCAACTGTGACCTCTCTGGCTGAAAAATAGGATCTCCAAATATCTCTCTCCTAAAATCTAAATCCTGCTGGTGCTGTTGGTTCCTCGGTCGTCTTTTTGGTTGCCCATAGACACTTATTTCTTCCAATTGTTTCAATCCTGAAGGGCCTGAAGGGGCAGAAACTCGAGCTCTGCAGAACGAATCCATTCATCCATTGGGAGTCTGAAGCGTTCATAAGGCTTGTCCATGTTCCCCCTTTTTCCCCTTTCTGGTGCCCCAACCTCCGCTTGCCAGCCCAGCGGCCCCATCCATCCAGCGGCTGCCCCACAGCATCGCCCTCCGGACTGCAGCGCGGAAGCGGGGCCAGACCAGGCCACTGAAGTCTGCAGCCCAAAGGCTCCCCAGCACGGGATCACACAAGTGTTGCCTGGCGTTCAGAGTTGGGGGAGTCCTCCTGCGAGTTTAAAGCCCAAGATGGAAGAAGGGCAAGTGTCTTGAACACTCCTAGACTCCTAAGTGGACATTTAACATTGACAAGGATTGATTGACTCTGCAAGATCGGGTCGGACCACCAGTCTCACTCACCGTGTCTCACTGTTCAAACGACCATCACATGGCTTGGGCAACTCCATGCAACTCCCGAAACAGACCGAAACTGCTCGTGTCGTGTGGATGGCCATCAGCTCAAGCAAGCAACCATTCGGTCACATCGAAGTGGGTGGACTCGCCCAGGAGCTCCAAACGATGAGTCCATTCATCTTGGACAGCAAGGATCACCTGATTTGTAGTGGGGGATGGGTTTTCCTTTGCCAACGCAACGTGTTTCCCTGTTAATTACAATAAACAAAAACATAAATTAATAAATACATATATATATATATACATATCCCGAACATGCTAGGAGTCCTGGTGCATCAACAGAATATGGCTCTTGATGGGTGCTCGCCCTTGGTGGATGGTGTGGCCCAGGGGCCTGCAGGAGTGCATGGCAGTTCACGGGTGGACGTGCCAACTTGGACGTGACGGACGTGATCCGGACGTGATCCTGACGCCCGGTGATCGATGATCTTGAGCAGAGTTTAGGGTTTTAGGGTTGGAGGGAACATATCACCAATCATCGCAAGTCACTACAACTTCGAAGCAAGGACTCTGGGCAAATTGACAATAGAAACATTGCCTCTGCAAAGTAACATCAGTCACGACTGACCGCAAACCGAACAACATTGCAAGAATACGTTCAGTTACTGGCTGCGCCCTGATGACCAATGCCAGAGTAAGCATTTGAACTATGCCTCTTTCTGCTGGGCCTAATTGGTTTAGTAACTAGAGCCGTGCTAAATCTTGAGTCGCGACCTTCCAACATACCAGGATCTCTAGAAACATTTCTGTCTGAAGCACTGAAGCCCAGAGTCCTTCTCCCCTTCTCCCCAAGCGAAACTGTCCCCGACCTCGGGCGAAACAGCACACTGGGCACCGCCCCAGGCAGTGAGAAGCAGCTCACGAGAGGTGAAGTCCGCCAGAGAAGATGTTGAACTGGCACCCACCGGTAGCTGCAAGACGGTAGCTGCAAGACTGTAGCTCCGCGTTCAGTGATCATTCACATATATCATATGAATCATATGTCATATATATATATATAATACATTTCTATATATTGTGCGTGTCCGAGTGTCCCATCAAATTACCAGCATCTACCAGCTAACTGTCATTGAATTGTTATCATTTTTTTGAGAAAGGCCTTCACTATCATACCTACGTACTTACGTACATCCATGAGTAAAATGCCTATATATTTATGATACACATCCAAACATGAACTTTTATGAATGTACCACCCTGACGATTGTTCTATATGATTTCTCACGTTTGTTTTCAGTCCGCCCTGACAAGCGTGATGGCGCCAGGACAGCACTCATCTCAATTGCTACCAATGAATCAGTGTCAATAAGCTTCAGCCCCTAGACTCTATTGCTCAATCTTGTTGATGACATCAGGATAGCTCTGCCTTCCCTGGAACAAAGATGGTTCCGTGGAGTTCCGCCCCTGTTGGGTATTCGGAAAATGGTGCAAACCAGGGGCCATCACTTCCATGTTTGTGCCAGGCAGGGTAAATCATGGTAAATCCACACCGAGCGTCAGCTTCACTAGGCGCGAGGAAGGGCGCCCAAGCACCCCCAGCATGGCTAAGGACCAGCAAATCTTCCAAAGATCCTTTGGAGCCAGCCATCCAATGCCTCGAAGGGCAGCCGGTCACCCCGAACTCGGTCGGATCCCGAACTCGGTCATGACCCGGCCGGCGGGAAAAAAGAACTTGGCCCATGCGGCCTGATTCAAACATGTTCCAAACTTTGCATCTTGCAATCCATGATAGGTACCAAAGGTGCTTGCTGACTTGCTGCTTGGTTCCCGCGCATTCAGAAGAGGTAAACACACACACAAAAAAGAAAAAGCACCAAGGTCACAGATTGTGGGCATCCCCAAGGTCGAAATTAGTTTCTTCATTGATGGTTGTAACATATTGTGACTCATGATGTCACCCGATATCACCCGATGCTTGAATGTATGAGGTGCATCAATCCACCCTTTAAGGGCGAATGCGGAGTACACTCTGTCACATATGCAGGAGAACACTCCTCCATGGTCAGTCCTCTTAGCCTTCTGGGATGTATCTGGGATGTAGAGGCCAATGCTCCATCACAAGCTTAGTCTGGTTGGTGGTTTCAACTCGCTTGAGAAACGCTAGTCTGCGGGCTGAAACATCGCATGTACAGTATAGAAAAAGGTTGATAATAAACATATACTATATATGAAAACCACTACCCAGTACTGTACTTCACTTCATGTTCCATGTCCATCTCAAAGATCTCAGGGTTCTGATATCTATCTCAGAACTTCAGAACTCTTGACCTAAAGTTCTAAAGTAAAGTCTACTATGGTGGCCGCCCAGGCCAACCTCCGTCTCAACCATCACTTGTCGGGTTGAGCTGTGTGTGTGTGTGTGGCTTTGCCGCCCAAACGTTCTGAGAAGCCCCTTTCCGTGCCTCCACGACGGCGGCATGAAGGACCTCTGGCTCGTCCACCTTCGCTGCGTGGCGGTGCCCGTCCAGGTTCGTCCAATGAAGTGCTCGATGCCGAGAGCCGTGGGCCCCGAAGGGGAGCGACACTCCCTGGACGAAGATGGTTACGTGGAATGGCATGGTCCCCAGAAGGAAGACCAGGTCCCAACTACCAAACAAAGGGTTTTCCCAGCTTTTCACTTCCATGTTAGTTCCAGGGAGTGTATATCCCAGGCTCACCGCTAAGCCGTCTAGAAACCAACAGTCTGGCCTAAGTGTGGAGCTCTAAAGCCACAGGTCTGCCATGTGAATGACTCAGGAATGTTGAGGAGCCTTCCAGCCTTCTTGCATTATGCAACTCACGTGTCTAGATTCCACATCCATCAAATACCTAGCCTGTAGATTCCTCCATTGGCTCGCCAGCATTCACTGTCCGCCACGTGGACTTCCCCCTTTGGTTCCACCCAAAAGCCCGGCCTCCAACCTGGCGAGCGCCCACAGGAACGAGGCGGCTGAGCGCCCTCCGCTGCGTCCGCTGTGTTGGGTCTCGGAGTTCAGGAGGAGGTGCAATGCCTGAATTCGTTGGTCAGCGGCCTCACAGGTGCTCATGACCGCGTTGCAGGAGATCTCCTCACAGAAGGCAGCTGGTGTGAAGTTTTTAGATTTTTGGACAGAAACGTCAACATGATACCGCCTGATTTTGTGGTAGGTCAGGGTGAGAGGTCAATGATTTGAGCAACTGACTGACGGGTCCCGTTTGAAAGATGCTCGGGAGCGGGTGGAGGGGCAGCACACTCTTTGTCTTATTCTGTGGGTATGGGTGGCAATGGGATGCAATGGGTGGTGTTACAGGGCAAAGGTCAGAACCCACTGGGACCTTTGAGATCTAAGATGATGTAAGGAGTCTAAGAGGCCAAAGACCATTGGGGAACTGCACGTGGCGATTCCTGGGATTTGGTGATCCGATGTTGCTACATTAAAAAGAAGAACTTTCATGGTCCCAAGCTTCACTCCTGATGGCGGATGAGCATTCCCAAACTCGGGTAGTTTGTGGTTGGGGGTCACACCGAGACCTGGGGAGCAGGCGGTCTGACTCAGAAAAGAGTTGCAAAGGAACTGTTTCTTATAGTGGGTAATTACACGACCGTCGGAAAAGCGGGATAACTCACAGTAGATTAGCTGATTCGCATAATACATACATTTAGAGAAGCTCTATGGCATTGTGGTGGAGCTAGCGGCTCCGCCAAATGTTAGTGAGAGAAGCGTGAATTTGGCCAGCTACAGGACAGAATCCAACATAGTCCCCCCATGGGAAATGGGAAATGTCTATTTTTGTATGCACCTATTTTCATGATATTATGAGTTATGAGTCATGAGTGTCTCCAATTCTGATTCGCGCAGCCAATGGCTTTCAACTGGGCCTCCATTTGGAGGTTCCTTCTCTTTGAAAACCCACCCGGAACCCATCATCGACAGTATGCCACGTGTCATCAACAGGCACTTGCTCGTTCTCCATGACCTCCAGTAAGTTCAAGGCCCAAATCCATTGACTTCCCTTTTCGCAGGCGCTCAAGGCTGCTCCGTAGCAGATCTCATTGGCCTCCACAGAAGCGGACGGCATCATCCAGAGAAGCTGAAGAGCACGCTGCCACTGCCCAGCTCCTGGCCAGTTGACCCCCCAAGTTAGGCGAGAAAAGAGGTCCGACTTGAGGGAAACTAGAGGTTGATTTGGTACCAGTGACCCATTGGTGGCACCTTAGGGGACATCCCCTCTATTAATCAACCAAGCCATCCCAGTGGATCCCAGTTACCACCACATAAGGAACCAGGACATCTAGGTCTATGGTGTTGGTCTTTGGAACCACTGGTTATCAGCTATAGTGAGAAGCCATCCATGTCACCGGGATCCACCAGGCTTTTTTGGTAGCGAGGAACGACTCCATGGACGCTGAAATCAGCGTCCAGAACATGCCTTGCCTGCATCTGAGGACCTGGGAATATCATGGAACATGGAACATTTACTCGTTTGGGTTCCTTTGCGGCTAAGGCTGCTGAGGCCCCAAACAAGGAATTGCGGTGTAAAAATGGTCTCCTTCACAAGCGCAAGCGCTGATTGCAGCTGAAAAGGACACCACATCCTGAGCAAACTTGGAATCATTCTCCAGGCATGACATGCACCAAACCTATGCCAACAGGATACGACCACGCACCTGGTCATCGATCAACTCTGACCAAGCCGAGACAAGGGACCTAATTAGTTCAAACCCAGCTGGTGAAATCCTTCCATCGGTGAACTCGTTAGAACACCCAAGAGAACAAATCATCCGAGTGAAACACCGAGCACTCGGAGCACTTGGGACCGAACCAACAACTGAAGTTCGCATGTTGGGGGCGAAACTGCATGTTCATCCAGACCAGATCCCTTCGGTGATCCACATGCTCGACCCATTTCCAACAGCACAAAACCCAGGTGAACTGCTACAGAGGGCTTCAGCGATTCTCACACACCTGATGGTCCAAGCTCCAATCTTCCCTGGACATCTTGCTGAGTGTCAGGCTGTCCTATCTGCTCGAAGAAGTCCAGTGCGTGGCTCCAGGACCCAGTTCCTAAGGCCTCATTGGCAAAACCTGTCGAGCAACCTGTGGTTTGAAAGAGCATGTTGGTTGGTTCCAAACCAAAGAGAAATACCAGCCCACGCTGCCGCCACGTCCATAGAAGATTCCAAACAACCTGTGGTAAAAGACGTCGATGTAACGCTGTTTGGGGGAACTCTCTCCCTGTTTTCTGGAGAGATATCTGTGGGACTCTTCTGTTGCCTGTTTGACACGTCCATCAATGTCATGAATCCTGACAATGCGAGTGTTGGGTCAAAGACACAGACCTGAAATCAAAGACAAAGACCTGAAACATGGCACCCAAGCAGAATTGAACGTCCCATGGTCCATTGCGTCCATAGTCTCATGGTTTTTGGAGTCCGACGCGGTCTTCATACAGAGACCAGCAAATAGTGGAGGTGACACCTTGACAAAGTCTCCCTGCTTTCAGGACACCTACGCTAGTTAGTCTCTTCATAGATCTGCTTTCATTTGCATGATCAAGAAACTTCTGTGCAGAGCCATCGGTGGCAACCTACGAAACTCCCATTGGGAATTGAAATGATCGCAGCAACACCTTCCATTGGAAGTGGACCGGGTCTTTCCTTCGCACAGGCCAATGGCCCATCACCCATCCAAAAAAGTATCAAAGTGAGTCTCCTTACACGTCCTTGTTCCTAGTAGCGATGCCAGGAGCCCCTAGTAGCGTCCTTGCTCCTAGTAGTAGGGCCAGGAGCCCCTAGTAGCGTCCTTGCTCCTAGTAACTAGTAGTAAGGCCAGGAGCCCCTAGTAGCTTCTAACAGACTGTATGGACCACTCCCTTTCCAAAGAAAACTCGCCCCCCTTTCGTCTTTTTTCGAGACCGAGCTGCTGTGAGGAATGCGTTCTGGGTGGCGAGACTTGGGCGAACTACCCTTTGCTTCATCTCTGACAGAAGAAGGACAGCTGAGCCCCACCTCGTGAGAAACCGGTGCCACCGACAGAGCATGAACAAACGCCATGGCCCTATGATGTCTTCTTGGGCCCAACTGAAGCTCCAAATGCCCCAGTGAAAGGCAAAGGAAAAGAATACCCTTAAGATCCCTTAAGCAACACATCCGACAGCATCTCCATTCCGTAAAGACTAAAGAGGGTTGTGTCCCGCAACACCTGACGTGGCGGTCTGGATGCCAAACACTGCCCGCCTGCCAGTATGCCCGCAGGCGCTGATCGCGGCGCTGTAGGTGACGTCATTTGGGGTCAGGTTCAGTAGCAGCCTAAGCGTGTCTCATCGTTGTTGGCCGAAACGCTTCAATGGAAATGGACTGCGAACCCTCTACCTAGGCAAACTTTACATGTCAGATATGGACCTCAGCTCTGTACCACTGTAGTTCACAACCAAAATAGCTTGTAAATGGACATTTGCCCGTCAAAATCTATTATCTAGGCTTTCTTCAGTGTCGAAGTGTCAAGACATGTCAAGACACGTGAGGCCGAAAAGGAGGTGCCTCGACGAGATCTGAAGATCCTACACAATGCCACATCGGAATTATGTTTAATACGTGTTTGATTTGTTTGATCCTACAGCATCTACACGTCGGTCAAGAAGAACATTTTCTGCACAAAGCGGAGTCACGTCGTGAACATCGGATGCGTCCTTCATCAATCCGGTCCTCTCAAGGTATTTAAGGCGAACTGCCATTGGACAGCCTCCATGTATTCGACCCAAACCTCTTCTCAACAATCACGTTGTCTACCACTTCTTTGCTGTGTCAGTGTGTAGGCCCAGCATGTCCCAGCCAACCTCATGACATGTCAAACTAGTGGCACCTCTTTTGCGCCAAGAAGCATCGTATCCAGCAGGTGGAGTGCGTCTTGCCAGCGGCCACACTTTTGACAGGCACTGATCGCGGAGCTAAAGCTGAACTCTTCGAATGGCACCTCAGTCCAAGCAAAGCAACCAGCCCCTCGCACTGCAAAGCACCAGCTCGGAGGCTTTGGGCTACCCATTAGGAAGCTCTCACTGACCTTTCATCATGTTGAGGGCCATCTTCTTGGTTCAGCCAGCGAGTTCTGCAAGTCTCCGCGCATGACAAGGGACCGGGCCACGGAACTGCCCAAACGGTTGGTCGCCTGGGACATTGGAACCACATGTTCGGCTCGTGCCATGAGCTTTTTGGTGGGTCCAGGTACCGAATGCTCCTGGCCCCTACGGAGCCACAAATGAACCAATTCCGCTTGACCACACCTGCGCAACAGCCTGCACACACCTGCAGGGGAGCAGCTTGGCAGCTACCTCTGAGACTTCTGCCAGGAGACTTTCAAGGATTTCATCAGCTTCCTGAAGGAAGAAGGAAGCAATCCAGGCGTACCGTTTTATTCTTCAACTCTTCTTACTGACTAGCCATGCGACTCTTTGCCAGGTGCGATCCAACCCACTATGATTCGGCTCGCTCAGTTTGACCAAAGGGCTTTGGGGATCCAAAACCTTGGGTGCGGAGGCCGAGGATGCCCACATGTTCATGACCGAGGATGCCCCGTTCCCAGTGCGAGTCACTGTTATTACATTCCACCGGTGGGGCAGGGAAACACAATGGAGCTCAGGAAACGTAGCTCCACACGTCCAGGTTAGAAAGACAAGCTGCCAGGGAGTGGAACACCACCTAGTAAGCAAAAGTAAACTCAAGGATACTCAAGGTAGCTTGGCTTGGTTAGGTTTAAAAGTTCAGTGTCACCAGATCTGCACCACTTGTAAATCATAATGCTAGCTGGGTGGTTGTGTCCCTGACAAATCGCCTGCCTACCGGGTTGCCAAAGGTTGAGCAGCATCACTATATATATCAAACCGAGTTGAATCTGCCCCCGCTCAGAGCTCAAGCCACTCAAACCGCCCTACCCTATCATATTCCTATCATGCCCCCACTCTATCTCCAATCCTCCAAACTCTTCCAAGTGTCAAAACCTCCAAGGCCACTTGCCATTGCCTCCCCTTCTCACACGCACTAATCAAACTACTGCAGCTCACTGCATTTGCCCCGATCTGGCTCTGCAGCATGGCTCCAAAGAGTAACATTGCCTCCAGCGGAGCGATGGACACGAGAACCAGGAAAGCCGCCACAGGCACACCCGCGCCCCAGGCGCGATGTAGGAACGGCCCACTAGGAATTCGGTTCCATCGCCATTCTGGAGGAAAACAACAAATCCATGGTGGAGAGGTGAAACGATGGGACTCTCCACACTCTCTGAGGCTCTCCCCGTTTTTCTCCCGAGCTTTGAGGCTCTCAAGGACCGCAGGTCAGCGAGGAAACGACTAGGTGAACCTGGCCTTCTCCCAGTGTTCACCGCATGCGCTGATGGCTGTGCTGAAGCTGAAAGCGTCTGGAAGCAACCTGAGGAAGGATGTGGACGGAGGCAGATGGTGGACGGATCATGATTGCTGGACCTACCAGGTGTCCCTGCCGCTCAAAAGGAACCCAAAGGAACTGAGAAAGTCATACCTCAGGTAGAAGAAAACAAGGCCAAGAACCACCAGCTGATCGGTCAACTCTCGTGGTTTCTAGCTGAGTGTCCGTATTCCTGGCTTGAAGAAAGAGACCTCTCCTTTTTGACCAGCTTTTTGGTGCCTCTGAGAGCAGACCAAGCTGACCCAAAGAAGGCCGATCTTGAGACCCCATGTGGTTTTCCAGTTCGGAGGCCCTGGACTTGGGGGATGTGAAGTTTTGGGCTCCAATTGACGCATAAAGACCTGACACCAACATAGGAAGGGCTGTGAAGACGACAAGTTCTCTGGCACCAATTCATCGAAATGATTTTGACATGTTAATTGTGTTCATGGACCAATGCATCGACCATGAAAAACCTTGAAATGAGTTAACTAAACCACCAGTGGATCATGTTGCCTTCTTTGGAACGTTTTTATCGTCAATTGTATATATAATTGGCTTTCGGGCTCCCTGGCTCTTGCGCAACCCAAAGAAGTATCATCCATGCCATGCATCACCATGCATGGACGGACACTGGCATATGGCCCGAGTAACTGCTGAGTGTACATCATGCTCAAAATGTCCAAGGCTGCCTCCCATTGCAGGCCTCACACGGGACTGGCCGGCTGGACGGTTGGAAACAGTCGAAGAAACCTGAGAGAGAGAGAGAGAGAACCATGCACTTCAAAAGGCCTCTGATGTTCCATGAGTTATTGTTTGTCACACTTAGTGCACAAACCTCCTCCTTGAGGCCCCTGCATGGCCTGCAACGAACGAATGTCGCCAAATATACAACTCAGGATGCCAGTGGCAATAGTCATCATCATCATATTTTTGCTCTTTGAAACACCTGGCCACATCCTGGCCTCTTTGGCAGGCGCGAATGGCAGAGCTATAGGAGATAGCGTCAGGAGACACCTCGCTCGGTGACTCTGCCATCTCTGGCTCCAAGCTTGAGCCACCGGGACGACCCGTCCAGCGGTCGCTTGGTGTGACACATTCCTAGTTTACACAACTGACATGCAACCACCCCAATGCGATTGTTCTTGCTGCCATCCAATTCTGGAAAACACCCAGATCGTCGAAAACTCTCCGGCATCTTCACCCTGGTCTTACCAAACAGCTGGCACCGTCTGGACGATAGCTCATGGGCGGTTCCTTGAAATGAAGGGAACATCGTCCATTCCAGTCCCCGTGCATACCCGGAAGCTAGCTCAACTAGTTCATGGAGGATGGTTTTCACTACGGCCCCTAGACTCACAGCTCAGAGTCCATGAAGGCTCACCCCTAACCGTTCTCTCCTGGAGTTACCCCTCGCAAGACCATGTCCCTAAGAATCTTATATCGGATAGACCACCAATGAGAACACTGCACATGCCAAAAGACCTCCAATCATGCTTCCCCTTCCAAAAAAACACCGGCATTTCCGGACGGAAGATTTGGACCACGATGGGGGTGTTGTGAACTCTTCCATTCTGCTACACCCACGACACCCTGACACAAGGTTTGATGGAAGAAATCGCATCCCAGGTGCAAAACCCGTCCCTGGGGAGTCCAGTGCCATTTTAGGTGACCCTAGGGCAAAATGTGTAGTTTTTCGACTTCTAGATTCTAGGGCTTCTACTTCTTCGTCCTTCTTTGTGCGAAGACAGTGGCTGGAGACAGCTGGGGAAGAACAACAGCCCACGGTTGACCTTCACTTGCGTAGGCAAAGAAGCCGCACGTGCCAGACAAGCAGTCCGACCATGTCCTAGCTGCGCATTATCTTCTTCAAGTCACGTGTGCGACGTGCATCTCCCGGAGCATGTCCAGGGAGATGAACCAATGCCGACTGGAACCACATGCAGTCATAGCTGCACTAAAGCTGATCTGGTCTGGAACGAGTGCCTGGCGGGTTCAACGCTGGGTCCGAGTGCCTCGGGCCCCCCAGCAGTCGAGTCCTTTAGATCAAAAAGAGGGACCTAGAGAGGCTAGGTCCTAGGTCGACTAGGTCCAACCCAACCTAAAAACACCTCAAGCGGAAAACGCACACACACATGTATATATTTTTGAGTTTCGGGAAGGACCCTCTCCCCCTACGACAAATATACCTCAAGAACTTGTGACAAAGCTCCGATCGTACTTGGGTTGACATGAGCTGCCCCTCATTTGCAGGTGACACTGTGAACTTCTGCGGTGATAGTTTACTGCTGTGAACTTCTCCTCAATTACTTGGTAATCATTACGTTGTTTCGAAATTTGTATAAGTGTTTATTAACCGCATCTACAAATGCTTGCGCCAACCGCACCTCTACTTGCACAGAAGTGCCTTGCAAGAGCCCTTCACCACATTGGAAAGACAAACACTGAGGTGCACCGCACCACATTGGTGACTACATCGAAGCCTATTGGTTGGGTATATCCCAGGGCCCGCAGGGCCCAGTGGATGATGCTGAGTCAGGCCGTTCCATCTCTAGTTGATGTGCTCGTTGACCGACTGTTACAGGATTTTCTAGGATGGTTCCCCCAAAGGTGCGATTCTGATCGCCCATGTTTTCGTGGCGTGCAGTGAAAAAGAAACAGTTGGCCAAACCCAAAGGATTGGAGTCGTCCCCCAATGAAACCGCGCATTGAGAACTTTGTGCATGAAACCATGTACCTATTGGTTGTGCTCACTTTTGCCAATGTGCCCCCCCCCCCCCAAACCTCCACAAGTGTCCACCTTTTGGGACGCCTGTGCAGGGCCGCGCCTGCGCAGGCATGCTGGCCAACATCGCCAGCGCGACCTGCCAGGCATTCTCAACGGCTGTGATGGCGGCATTGAGGGAGATGAGGGTCAGGGGCCTCAGGGCAGAAGGCACTTGGACAGAAGGCCGGGCTGAAAGAGATCGGAAAAGGAAGCTGTGTGGCCACTGTGTGGCCAGCAGCACAGGTTGGACATGGACAAGAGTGAAGATGCTATGAGATACTTGCGTCACATTCTCAAGGAAACGCATTACTGTCGGGGTACCAAGGCTTAGCGGCTAAGGGAGCATTCAGGGATACAAACCACAAGTCATGATCAAAACGCAATGAAACAAAGCGACACCTTCAAACAAATGAAACCGCATCAAAGAAAGACAAACACCTGCAAACCTTCCCACTACCCAGCAACAGCCAGTCTTGATTCTTGGATTTGAGATGATTCTCAAGCAAGCAAACGGTCCTCCATGATTTTGTGCACAACACGCGATGTACATGCATGCAAACACACATCACAAAAGTTATAATGTAGCAAACACTCTCCCAAGAGCCCGGGGGGGTTCATCTTTATGCGTATCCAATTTTGCGGGCGCGTGTTATTGCCCTGACGCAACGACCTGGTGATCCTGGCTTTCAGACTCAACTCTTGTGGGAGCAGTATATAGTTAAGATAGCTCAGCAAATCTCAGACAAACCCTCTCTTGCCCGCCAGTTTCCTCCTCACAGGGCTGGATTGCGTAGCGACTTCATCTATTCGACTTGTCCATCAGGTCGCCCCACCGAGACCGGACGAGGCTCACAGCGCACGTGGTGGCCGCCTGCAACAGGTCTTGTGCACAGCGCCAGGGTGCTGCACGACTTGCGCCTGAGTGTCGCAATGCGACTTCGGTCAAATTTATGTATTTTTTCAATATGTTTCAGGCGACTGGTCAAAAATTCCTACACCCGCAACTGCCAGGCTGGGACCTCAGCATGTCAGTAGAGACCCCAAGGGTTGGGGTCTGAGATGCAAATCTTACAGCCACGGCTTCCCGGCTTCCCACAAACGTCAGACCTTGAAGTTTAGGAGTTGGTGATGAAGGGGGGTCCAGGTCAAACCGAGTGTGACATGATTGTCTTTCATGCAGACTGTGGACTAATATAGTTAAATCCCATCTCATCCCCCGAGGACTGCAGGATGTTAACCCATCCTGGAGACCAGGGAGGTTTGATTCATCCACCATCTACCAGAGTTCCTCCAAACCGCGTCGACCGTGAAGGCTGGTGCGGTAAGAGGCGGGCCGAATCCGAAGAGAAATGGCAACGCCCCGTCGGTTGAAGGAACATACTCACATATGCTCACAATATCAGTAAACGCAGCTGCAGCTGGGTGGATATGGTGGATGAGAATTTGTTGGACAGTCTTTTACTCTATAAACATGTTGGGAGACCACACTTCTGACTCTTGTGCTGTTGGGAGACCACCCCCCCCCTTTTGAAGCAAGCCACTGATGGCAGCACCAAAGGAAATGTCTGTGTATCCGACCCTGGCCAATGGCATATCGGCCAGCACGCCCAGTGCCCACAGCCATTGCTGCCCCTTTCCAAGGCATGCGATGGCCGCGTTGAAGTTCGCAGACTCTGGCATGGACCGCTCCAGCACAGCAGGGGCCAATTGCCAAACGGCACGCTTGGCTGCATCCTTGATGATACCGTTGCTCAGAAATCTGGAGTGGTTCAATTTGATGCTGAACTCATGCAAAGCTGCCGTCCAAGCACGCGGGGCAAGCTGTAGGCCCCCGTGCTCCGCGCGCGGACGACACATGCGAGAAATTCCGACGAACTTGAACTTGGAAAGAGCTGCGACGATCAAATATATGTGATCAAGTGACTTCGCAATCGCTCAGCCGTGCTGATCCCTAAAGGTAACGAGAGCATGTTGATGCGCTTGAGTCTTACACATTTCACGCCTGGATTTACGGAAGACCTTTCGAGTCTCTTGCCTGAGCCTGCCACATAGCACTAACCAGAATAGCTGTTCCAACTCACCCAGTCACCTACATCAGTAACTCATAGGAACTCACTATGGACAATGAACGGGTCGGGACAGGCCTCTTCAAGCCCAAGTCTCCTGCAGCAAACGATGGCACCCCTGCGAGTGAGACTTATCATAGAGACATCTGCGTAGCAAACTCTAGCAAAATGCTGGCAACGCTTGAATAACGGTGCCATAATCTTTCCCACATGCAAGACCTCTAAAATTTATGCCCCTTGCCTACAAATGGCATGCAAATCAATCATGCAACGTGCCCTCCTTGTCGGGAGCGGGAGCTGAAAGCTGTAACATGTGACAGCTGCTGGTGAAGCAATCAATGAAACTGATGAAGGATGGATGACTGGAAGACTGTCAAAAAGCTGATCTTGACAACATCCAGGATGCACTATCACTAAACGCCTGCATCCGTTGCACCTTGTGTGAAGCATATTGCGGACTGTAGAACAGGATGCCCGCCACTCTAAGCATCACGTGGGGTCTCCATCATGTCTTTGATGTGAATCTGCGATGTGGTCGAGCAACTTGAGGACCTTCCAGGTATATGCATTATATAAACATATTCATCATTATATGCTTCTATTTAATCTCCCCGATCTTGAGCCAACCGGGCCAGCCGAAGTTGACAAAAAGAATCATGTCTTCCAATCGGAGCCGAGCTGCCAGCTGTACCGAGCTCAGGGCAACCCTGTACCAGCTGTACACGCATGGTTTTTCCCCAAATGAATCACCGGTTTTCAGAAGCTCACCATGCTCACCGGTGAACAGGTGCTGTTTTTCAGCTGCGAATCCAAACAGCATTGACCTGTCGAAAAAGGTAAGCAGCTACACCAGAACACCTGTTGCTCAGCAACCAGATTCACCTGACCCCCTGTTGGTAGTGGATCACATCCTGTTGGTAGTGGATCACATGAAAATTGTAATAATTGGAGGCCCTGCTTATGACCCTGTGATGCTGGGGTGACAGCAGTGCCCAAAGACTTCTTGCGGTTCTTTTGACCAAATCCTGTAGTCTGTCCAAATTCACAGGGAATGAGCCGCTCTTTGTCTCTTTCTCACTTGAAGTGCTGCTAGAGCTTATCTAACGACAGCACCGCATGGTCCGCATGGTCTACATCACATTCTCGTGAATAAGCAAATAGCAAACAGCACCTACAGTATGAGATCCTGCGAGTACGCTAATAGACAATAACATTTGAGAAATCAACTGGCTTGACAGCAGAACACCTTCGTCATTGAATTGATGTGCACATAACTGCATATATACATATTACTGATACATACTGCATATAATATATATATATAGCAAGAAGAAAAGAGAGGTAGATATACCGTCTCGAGCCTCGTGAACACATGCCACCCTTTTGTCTTGGGAGTTTGAGTCAGGCATGACGTGAATTGTTGATGACTTGGTGGGTAGTTGGCCAGCAAAATGCTCTGTAACTGCTTCCGGTTTTTGACATACGACCGGAGTGTCGCGTTCGGGTTAGGCGACCCCCCGATCCGGCCAGTGGCCAGACCCTTCAGGTGGTAATCGCGTGATGTTTCATCGGTTCAAACGTGGGGGGTTCAATGACCTTCCTGCATATATAGATCAACAGTAGTGCCAATCACTGCGTGGGATATTTGTATATCATTGAGTGATTGTTGCTTGCACTTTGCTTTTCATCACTACCAAGGTCTGACAACTCCATACGACTTTTCTCAGTTGCCAATTGGACACACATGACAACATAACTTTACATTACATTACCGTACGCACATGCATATATGCGTATACATATGTTTTTAATATATGTTTATATAATTAGGTCTATCCTAACACCTGTAACAGTGGATGATGAGGCTCAAAAAAGGCCTTTTCCAAAAATAGTGATGATAATTGTTTACTGAGTTTACTGACTGTTACCGGTATATATATATAAATACGTTGCACCTTTCGCCCACGGTTTTCCCTCCTGACTGCGTCCTTTGAGAAACATGCTTAGTGGCATATTGCCAACAGGTTTCCAAACGCATCACCAAGCGTGTAAGCAAGAGAAACGCATGCTTGCAGAATGCCTTTGAGGGAATTAACTCGATCTCAAGCAGCTCCGTTACTGGCCATCGGAGTCTTTGTGAGAGGCTGGCATCATAAACCAACACTTGTGAATTGTCCGACAAGCGGTGTGGGTGGGGGAGGAAGTGCCCAAACATGCCGACACATGACACAAGCGACAAGCGACAACTCCGGAGTCCTGTCATATCAGGATCGTCTTTCCTTAGATCTCAATGTCGGGCTTTGGACACGAACATGCGTGGAAATGCATGCCTTCAAACCACACCTGACACGAATCGACTGCACAAATACAGTATGCAACCAGTGTTCTATACTTTGATATGATTTGATAGACCAGAAACATCAATTCCAGCACCTGTGGCCAACTTCCTTTTCTGAAGGCACCTGTCCTCCAGTGCCCGGTCCGCCGCTCTTTTGGCACAGGTCTGCTGGACTTTTTCCTTTCATGGCAAGCAGGTCTGCTAACCAGCCTTGATGGCGGGTGTCTTGGTGCGGAGGGTTCTTGTGAGCTCTTCCTGTACATATCTTTCCTCTGACGTGTCGGTGCCTCTCTCAGCCCCTTGCGATCAAGCTGCTTGCGCGCTCGAGGCGAATGCATGGCATGATGCTCGTGGTGGGTCGCTGCCCAAAGAAGAATGGCACACCTTGTTGAAGTAAAACCGTACACAATACAGGGATAGAGATTTCCTAGTTAGTTGGCCCAATCATAATCAAGCTATTATATATATATAACGAGGAATTTGCTGCGCCTACTTTCGCCCAGTGCGGGATTGCCACACGTGACACCGAGTTCTTCCCGTTGTGGTGACTGACCAACAATCAATCCTCCAACCACCCCAGCACTCCCCCCGGAACATCCTCCCGCCTTCGACCACCGCCCGGAAAGGCAGTGTTTCCCATAGAATGTCAGACCAGCGGGAATATTCCTGCATGAGAAAGAGCGATGCAACTTGCGCTTTGTCTGCCAGAAGAATGAGCAATAATAGTTCAACATAGGAGAACCCTGACGGACGGATGCAACCTTTAGAAGCAACATTTGCAGGCAGTCTCATATTACAGGCCTAAAAACAATAAAACACACTTTCAGATGAGCTTTTTTGGGAGGCAATGCTAGCAGCTAGCAATACACTTCCGTTGCACAATTATAGCCGTTTCCATGGTCTATTCCGGTTGAGGAAAAAACCGACAGCACTTGAGATAAATGCTACACTCTTCACCGAACTCATTGGATATGTCTGCAAGAGGAGGACCTTCTGTGATCTTCTGTGTCTTGTTTCCACCTACCATGGCCACCCAATGGGTTTTGGGTGGACTGTCCTACACCGCATACACACATAAATAGTAAATATATATATATATATTATATTGTAAATATATAAATATAGCAACATAGTTCAACAGACTGAAGGGATCTCTAGCCAGGACACCCATCAATTGGATAATGCACCTATCTTGTGTCTTTGTTTGGTGAGGCCAAGTCTCGTAGGCCCAAATGCCCAAGCTTAGCAAGCAGAACATCCCAGGCCCGCCATAGGGCTCCACCCAAATGCATCCACTCATTGTCAAAACCTGAGTGGTTACACTGCCTGGAACAAATCATGGAAGTGAAAGATTTCCAAATTAATAAAATGTTCGGAATACCAAGCTGGTGGAAAGCCCACTTCCATGTCAGTGACTCTAAGTGTAGCAACATGTTTTTTCTTTAAATGAGGGACTTGCTGAATGAGAGGCGACTTGCTGAATGAGAGGCTTCGGCAAGTTTTAGATTTTTCCAGACTCCTCAAGAAAACAAACCTGAGAGGCGTTGCACATCGTTGCACCATGTACAGTACTTTGAGAACCTGTTTCGAAGGCATTGCCTTGCACTGCAGGGGCCTGCAGTAAAGGACGCAGCTTCCCTACACGTCCCAGCACCGGACCCAGCCGTACCATGCCGTACCCCACGTCGTCGCCGCGGCACGAAGATCGGCAGGATGAGGTGAACATGACGCAGCTGCTGCGCCCAGAAGATGCCGCCCAGGTCCGGCTTCGGCAGCTCTGCGAAGACCAACAAGTAACCTGACCCAGCTGAGTTCATGTGGACACGCATAGCCCAACCAAACAGAGTTCCCCCGACAGCTACTGAAGGTGCGGGACAACCCCCTGGACCCTGTCAGGTCTTCTACCAGTGATTGACGTAGAGTCGGCGACTTTGGAAGTTAATCATGTTGGAGAAAAGTCGAAGTCGGCCACCCTTTTCTTTCACCGCTGGGACCTCCAGTAAACCCGAGTCGAAACAAAAGGAACACCACCGCCCCAACGAAGCCACGGACACGAGGATCCAACGAATACATGGTGGAGGGCATCAAACGGATGACCAGGTTCTGAGGATCCAACGGGTGCTTTTCGCATGGTTTTCACTCCATGGATCTGAAAACCGCTCCAAACTCAAGAGGCCCGATCACAAAACATACGAGGCAGCTGGGCGGCCCCCTGCCCCTTTTCCCCTCCCCTTCTGACAGTTGACCCGCAATGTTGAAGGAACTGACGACCCCGAAGATTCATGATGTTCATCCACAAATGCGCAGGTTCAAGGCATGTTGGACACCCAAAATCATAGCTAGCGACCTTCGCCTTGCAATGTCTCGTGGCAGCTTTCAACCTGAAAACCTGATTGGACAAACACTCTGTGTAGTGCATAGTGCCCATAAAAGGCCAAACACATGTTTTTGACCTGAGGATGATCGAAGAATTGTGCCAGGTTGCCGAAGACTAGGCGGTTGATGAGGAAGAAAAGGAACACCACCTACAGTAAACATGTATGAACATGACAACATGCTATGACCACCGTCAAACGTCCTGGGTGGAGGTTCTCAAGTGGTTGGACATCGAACATCTGGCGCTTCTTCACCCTGGGAATTCCAAAGCAAGAGCAAAACAACACTTATAAGATTCTTAAGACAAAGCTCGGATAGAGCCCAATGCAGTTCAGAAATGCATTGGCCCTGAAAACAAGACCAAATCCCAGGCCAACCTTTAGGTCTTCGGGCGTTCTGATGGAGCCTGAGATCAGACCTATTAGGCAAACAACTTGGCAGCCGGTCAGTTCTACGAGAGTGGTCTGTGGGGAATGCAGGTCGGCCGACCGGTCGGCCCAGAGCTAACCTTGCATCCCAAAAGCCTGGCTAAAGGCCGGAATCGTGCTGAGAAGGTAGGAATTCTAACAATAATGCGAGCTGAGCTGGTGGCAAACAAAGGCAAACAAATGCCAGCCGGAGTGCGATCAGGATGAAGGGCGACAGCAGGCTGAAGACCAAGCCTGAACATGTGGGTGATTGGTTTCAAATGTCCAAAAGCTCAGGGAAGTACTTCCAACGGGGTAGGGCGGTGTTGAAACTTCAGAGCTTCAATCAGCTGTTTGTTCGCCTCAAGGCCCCTTAAGACACCTCGTCAGAACCCGCCTAAGTTTGTGTCGTCGTAGCTCGGCGCGATTTGCATGTCCCAACCGTAACACATTATATTCTACTAATACACAGGCATATATAAGTATAATATATATATATATATTTAATTGTTGGATTCATTCATCAGCATATCTATGTACAATCTATAGTGTACATTCAACCCACGCAGCATCCCACAACTTCATTGAATATCTTATCAACAAAAAGTCAGTGTCCTCGACGTTCGCCGTCGGACGGGCAGTGGCTCCGTCCCCCGCTCCGTCGGCAAGGCGCCGATTGCCAAAACCAGGCTCAAGCGAGCGCTTCGAGAGCCAACGCCTCCGGTGTCGCTCCGGTGTCGACCGAAGGAACCGAAGGGAGTGGAGGCATCGGTTTGGGAGGTGTTGTAAGGGATGTTTGTGTGTTTCTGGTGGAATGCCTAGAGAGCAACACATGCTTGGAATTGTCCACACCCCAGACCCCAGCATAGATTGAAACAAAACCGTTCAAACCTTCACCACAACATACTGACATACCAAAACATATCCAAATTGATGGATTCCTGGATAGATTTTTCCAAGAAGAACTGACTGCTTGGAAATCCCGGGGTAAAATCCCAAGATCATGCAAGTGCACTCATCAAGATCAAATGCCTGTGTGTGTGCCAGCGTCTCTCTCACAGGCCGTGCCCCGATCTTTTCAATTGACCCAATGGCACCCGTAGCAACGTGCCCTTAGGTGACCCCATGCAATTATGCAAAAGTGTGATGCGCTACATCCTGCGCCTATGGTTTTGAGAGGCCAACACTCACAAACCTTGGAACCCTCAGCAGGTTGAAAAAACCACAATTTGCCGCAGGCCAGTGGCACCTGCAAAGCCAGTGCAACCCTTGGAAAACTGAAGGAATTGTTCACCAACCTGAATGCTTCTTTAAAAATCACACTTTGCACCTTCAAAACATCTACAAAACTACTTCACGCCTTTGACAGGTGCCCTACCTGCAGAATCCAAGAGCTGGGCGATCAGTTTTCCAACGATGACTCAAGAAAACAAACCCGCAGGGTCTTACCGGTTTTGGATGGTTTTCGCGTGTTTTTCCCCTCTGCAGCGGTAAGTTGGGATAGTTCGGGCGCACCCATGGCTCAGAAACGATATAGAATCAACCTGTCCCCATGCCCTGCATCATGGATGTCGGCTGAGAGGCCGTAGTAGTCCTGGTCTTCCGGTTCGGACTTGTTCTTCGCGCGATCTTCATCACCTGGGGCGGTCTCCAGCGCAAGCAACAAGATCGGATTGAGGAGCCTTACCCAGAGGATTCCTGTCTGGGAGTTCTGCATAGTTCTGCTCAAGAATGTTCAGGAGCATCCTGCGCCAGTAGTGTAGGGTAGTCATGAGTAGTCAGGAACCCCCAGAATGTTGGATGGTCCTGGTAAGTATGATGTGCGTGTGCATGTACATCACTCCAGCCGCCTCTCCCTAAATGTAGACATACACATACGTATCATACTCACACATACATGTGTTCTTTACTTTATTTTACAATAGATGACACTGCGGTATATTACAAACATATGCATGCAAACATACACCATAACACACACATTTCCTTACTTTACATGAAATTGACACATGCATAATACATTAATGCATGCTAAACATTTCGGTACATGGCGTCATGGCGTTGTACATACATACAGGATACAAACAAGCACGTAAACATACATGCGTACAAACAAGCAAACAGGCGGGCATACATTCATACTCACACACATACACATGCATACACCCTTCACCAATTTGATACCATACCAAGCCATACCATACCTCACCATTGCGTTACATACTTGGCTGCTAGAGTCTGCTAGAGCCTCACGTGTCACATCCGCTTCAACGATGCTGTTCCAGTTGAACCGCAACGCAAAGCTATACAACCTAGAATCTCAAACGCCAGGGACACATGCGCAGTCAATGGCACAGTCTTCGCACCGGTGCCTACGCTTCTTCCACCACGACCGCAATCAGTGAAACAGCCTAGCGAGGTGGTGCCCCGCGTTGTCAGGATGCACAGAACTCCTTGGGCATCACAGCCCCCGATGCAAAATCTGCATACCTTTGGTTGAGGAAATCTCCACAAAGGTCGTCTCCTCCAAGGGCACATGTCTCACTCCCAGGTGTCTTCTCATGGAGAGTTCGTGCAAAAGCCACTGACTCGACAAGAAAGAAATAGCAATGTCTCACTCGTCTGATGCTCAACACGCCTCCAGTGTTAGGCGTTTCACACGCTGCAGGGTTCTTCGCATGGGAGGGGCGCTCATGTAAAGAAACATAAAGAAACTAGCCCCAAAGAAACACCTACATCTCATATCAGTCTGACTGAGGTTCAAACTTCAAACGCGCTTTGTTGCATGTTGTTCGACCATCTCCGCAGGCTTTGCACCTCGCTCTTCAAAGGTGGCTCTCCTGCAAAGTACGGAAATTGATGTCAAGAAGCTAGAAGAATGATGATGGATGTTTGGGTATACGCATATGATTTGTGGAGCAGCGGCAAGAGCGACAGCAAGAGCACCAGTAAGAGAAACAGCTAGAGCAGCAAGCCCAGCAGCAGGAGCAGCAAGAGCAGCCGGAAGAGAAACAGCAAGAGCAGCAGCAATAAAAGCAAGACTAGATGGAGCTTGGGTGTTGGTGCCGCTGCAGGGTGCCGCTGCCAGGTGCCTGGCCATGTGGGCGTTGGAGTTTGGGTGCTGATGCCGCAGCAGGGCGCCGCTGAAGGGTGCTGGCCGTGTACGCATTGGAGCCTGTGCGCTGGTGCAACTGCAGGGCGCGGCCAGATGTGTATGGTGGCGCAGCTGGGAAGTGCCGCTGCAGGGTGCTGCTGCCAAATGTTTATGGCAGTGTGGTGTGCGCTTTGGAGCATGCGATGGTGCCACTGTTGGTGCCGCTGCCATGGTGCTGCCCGCAAAGTCGTTGGTAGGTCAACATGCATACCTTTATGATGCAGGTCTATGGGCCACACAAACATCTGCAGCCGAAATAAACATCCGCTGGAGACGCAGGTAGAAACGCCCGTGGCTCCTCAATAATAAACGCTTGTCATTGTCGCTTGTGTCGTAGAATATCAGAAAAGTACGGAAACACCCGCAGACTCAAACATACGGCTGTGACTCCAAAATATGGTTTTCACGCTACAAAAAAAATCAAACACACTGACGAAGTTTCAGGCATCAATATTTATTGTATTATCATATATATTAGCAGCACAGACAAATGCCACAGGACAGGTCTGCACCGAAAACGAAATAACTTCAAAGTGTTGCCTGTTTGGAGATGTATTCTCACTGAAGGTGGTGAGTGACTCTGTGTGCCAAACATGTGCCGAGTCGCAAATCGTGTTCCATGCCAAGAACTTGACAAGGTTCTGATAGCGCAGGACATTCCTTGACCGAGCGAAAGGTGGGTGTCACACTTGCAGTTGGCTGTTGGGCTATAGGTTGGCAGTTGGCAAGAGTGGAGGGTCCACAAACAAACTCCCCTGAGCTACAGCGTCAGCTGTGTTTCAAGAAGAAGTTTGCAAGCGTCATCAAGCGACAAGCGCAATTCCGCAGGCTCGACTCGACCCAGTGCATTTCCTATACGACGTGGTCTATCTTCACACCAAGGCTCAGGACAGTCACGGACCACTGCAAAATGACGTAGTCCTGAGGCAGGGCTGCCCCCAGGCGAAACGATGGAGGAAGTGTTACAATGAGTTTCCGAACAGCCCGACCACTCGCCCTGAGACCCAAGATCAACAAGGAGATGCAAGGGAGCTCTGGTGTGGGTGGGGGTTTAAGCAGGGGTTGGAACATGTTAGAACCTCATGATCGTTACATTGCATCGGTGTGATGAGATATAAAACATTACAAGACTAGAACCTGAAATGAGAGAGAATCCAAGAAAACAACGCAATTTCATTGCCGTTCCTCCATTACATGATCGCATCGTACAACGTGTAGAGCGCTGATACGACCCCTAGCACTCGGAAACGTATCTTTGATATTTATGGGGGTGTGAGATGGTCTGTGGTTTGGGATTTGAGTGGTGCGCCAATTTGCAAACAGGAGCAACTACAAAAGGATACCAAACGCCAAAGCAACAATCTTGCTCAAAGCAAATGCCAGCTGTCGATGTAAAAGGTAGACGTATTTGGAAGGCTGCCTGCAAAGTCAAACCTGCCCAGCGGAGAGACAGCGTCTCGAGACCAGCCCATCATGTACAACGAAGAAGATTGCAATCACAAATTTGAGCAAGGGAGCGATTCAGCTTACAGCTGTGGCTGGGGTCATGAAACTTCAGCTAAACACATCTAAACACTCCCACTCAAAAAACCTTTCACAAAACACTCCAGCTGGCACAATCGAGCCAAGGGGGCAAAGCATGGAAGGATACAATATGTTTCAATATGTTATTGTCACCAGCTTTGCCCTGGAATCAACGACCTTCCCCAACCTGGCAGGGATCGCACGGACGCAGAGGGGGGAACATGACCCTTCGGAACAATATCTTCCCAACATGTCAGAGCCCATGCTTTGGTTTGGCAGGTCTCCCCCACCTCGTTTGGAAGATTTGTCACGCTTGATCCACTGAGTAATGTGAGCATGGCCAACACACAGTGCCTCTCAAAATCCTAAACTCTCCCACGTGAACCACCAACCAAGCGGGAAGCAAAAAAGGAACAGATCTACATGTTATCCCTGAGCTTGCAAAAGGCTTGGCAGTTCTTTCACACCCTTCCGTTGAGGAATGCTGTTGAGGAATGGTTTAAATAATAGGTGCAACATGACGTAAGAACAGCAAACACATTTGAGGAAATAACACTACGTCGTTGAGAAGAAAAGCGCCACATGCGTCGTTGATAGGTACAGTAAGAATATCAAACACATCAAACGGTTTGTGTTTCGAAACGGACCGGCGACCTGGGCAGTCCGCCCCGACTCGACGTTTAGACCCGACCGGTGCCGAGGAACAGCACACCCTTGGGTGAGGTCAAGACATCGTTGAAGCGTTGCCACAGAGAGGTCCCGACCGCCGTGACCAGCAACACGAAGATCACCTGCCGAAAAAGCAGCGACGTGACGCAGCGTGGCTGAACCACACGGTAGGTCTAAGGTACCTGGCGCATGGATTAAACATGGTCATTGCATAGCTGCCAGGCGACCTCAAGGGATGATTTACATGTATATTGTCATATATCTTCAGAAACCTGACAGAAGAAGGAAGGTGACTTCCTGGCCATCCCAAAATGACATCCTTGAACATCGACTGCTCATCTGTCTGTGAGGCCCTTCAATCAAGCAGCTCTGCTGCAGTGCACCCTTCATAGTGCTCTAAAAAGCGAACCATGCATGCCCTATGGAAAGGAGCCATTTGGTGCGGGCCCTGTATATGCTGTATATACCTTCTCCGAATTCGTTACCCTCTAGCAGAGCAAACGGGACTCATGTAGCTCCACGAGAAAACCGCGGTGCCACGCTCGTCTTGCACCGTGTTGCTTCACCTCTCACTTCCGCCATGGAGATTCAGCAGCGGGGACACGTCATGAGGTCAAAATGTCCCTCAAACTCATCCTGCCTGAAACCAATAGTACCACTCTTGCAAATAGAGCTGGCTCTCAGCCCGGGAGGTCAGCGTGAAGGTCTTATCAATGATGAAAGACAAAGTGGTGGGCAGGAAACTCATGAAGAGCGACAGCAAGAGGGTGGCAAAAATACCTGCGCGAACGAAGAAAGACGACCGGCCCTCATGAAGTGCCACGCCAGGTTGACAATTTACAGTATACTTACCCTAGCCTTCCAGATCCCAAGAGCATTAAAGAGTTCGGTTGACCTGGTTTTGCAGCCTAAAACCCTTGGTAAATCGATGGTGGTTGGAAGCCTGGGATTATTCATTTAATTCCAGGCCTTGTTGTCGAAGCAACATGACTGTCCAGTCCCTTCTTAGAGGAAGCGCACATGGCTGCCAGGACCATCGGGAGCACATGAAACCCATGTAGCTTTCCCGCACCCCGCACGGGGCCTTCAAGAAATGATTGGAGCCAGCTCGAGCTGGTGATAATCCTCGCCAGGTGTCGCACAGAATGAAGGAAGGGGGAACAAAAACCGGTCCTGCCAAGACTGACTGTGACCAATTCGCATGGCAAGGATCTCTTGTGGGTGGGAGGTTGGCAGAACCAGCTTCTGTTTGGTATTCTTCAATCTTTTTGATATGCTGCTCATGCCGCATACCCTACACAGTGGTGGAACCAGGTAGCTGGCCCGCCAGCACGTAACAAGGCCATAAAATCTTCGAGCCAAGATGAGCCAAGTACTGTAAGCTGTCCTACTCCCCATCGATGAAGCACGAGTGGTGGATTTTCAAACTCATGCCAAAATGGTCTTGAAATGCCCTTTGTTACTAGTGGCTTCTTGTTACCAGTAGTCAGGCCAGGAGCTACGTCGGCTACGCGTCCGATCGCTCAAGAACAGAGTCGCAATGCTCATCTGTGTAATTCAACATGTCGGCCTTTGGAGGGTCCGGCCCTGATGTGGCACTTGTTTCTATTAGCTTATTGTTACTACTAGTAAGGCACTTGTTTCTACTAGCTTATTGTTCGGCCTTTGGAGGGTTCGAGGCCCTGATGTTTTCATCCGGAAAAAGCGTCTGTTTGATGAAGGCCATCTGCTCCAAGTTCTCCAGATTCACGATGGACGACGCCAGGCCGATGAAGGGGAAGAACAAGAGGAAAACGGTGAAGATCAGCACATAGCCAAAGAGATGGGACACTTGCCTGCACGTCCCGCAACCACTGACCGCATGAATGTGGCACATCCCGGCCCGAGAATGGGAGCCAAAGGTCACGAATTGTGCGGTTGGCTAATTTCAAGTGAGGACGTAAGTTTGGACGAGAAAGGCTATCACAGTTGCGGAACACCTTATTGTTGAACTGCGCCCTTTCCTTCTCAAAAAGTGAAGCGTTCTTTGCCCAGTGCACCAGTAGAATCTGTAAGACCTTCGGATCCTGACATATTCTACTGAATGACACTTCGATCAAACGTTTGAGGTTCAGCTTGCGTCCAAGCTTGTGTGAGGGTCAATGGACAATTAGGTAATAAATCGCCATCGTAATGTTAGCAATGGTGCGCAGCGTAGGGCAATGGCTCACTTGGCTGTTTGTTCCGGACATGTCGCTTAGAAAAACAACGACAACCCGCTGATTATACCCCGGTGTGCCAGCTCATGAAGCTACGGGTTTCGATGGTCCAGCCGATGGTGTGATGAACTTGGTTGTTAAGCCTTGGGCATAGGCATGGGAAATCATGGGAAAAGTTGTGCATTTGGCTCCTCGGCAAAAAGTAGTTTGTCGCTACCACGGTGCGGACCGTTTTGCTTGAGACGTGCCATCAGTTTACAGGAGCCTCCGGCGGCAAAATCCAGCGGCCGACAAACAGTGGAACCGTACTTTTTCACACCGGTATGCAATGTCTATAGAGGGGAGGCGCAGTATAACATAGTATAAACCTGTGTGATGATGATCCTGTCATGTCAAAGTACACATTACACACAGGGACCTTAGTGGCCTTAGTATGCCTTAGTTCTTCCCAGTTGTTGTTGGATTCATCCATCAACAGTGCTATTAACACCAGCCTCAGGGATTCTGCTGTCCTCATGATGTCACAGTGGGTCCGTGCAAAACCGATCGCTCAAGCTGAACGCTCATCCACTCATGCCCATACCGACCAATGGCAACTACCCACTACCGCTTGGGTTCGAACCCAATGGTCTGCTTTTTAAACCCTTTCGAACCCTTTGCACGTTTGATCATGTATTGGACATAGCATGACATAGCCAATAGCCGCTTAGATATTTGCGTTGAACATGGGGTCAGTCTAAGATCAGTCTGGTGATGTCTGTTTGCAACTGAGCAAAACAGCCTCACCATGCTCTGCTCCGCTCTGCAAACACCCTCGCCACCTCACCCGCCCTCCACGCCTTTGCCAGGGACTGGCGAGAAGATCCTCGTAGGCGACGTCTTTGGGTGCTGGCGCGTACTTCATGGTGAAGAGGTGGCCTCCGGTACCAAACAAATTGCTAGGTCTTTTCATGCATTGAGGAGGGTCGGTCCGGCGGTGTGCGGATGGAAAAGCATCGGATGCCCCACAAAAGCACCCCCCAAAATGAAAAACAGCACGTAAAGAATGCAAATAGAGAAGTCTCAGGAGAATGGATCGAACTACCCAACAAACATCAACAAACTTTTAAACCATTTTAAACCCAACTAAGAACAACTGGCACCTTGGTCGCCCAGAGTCACCACTGAAAACATGGGCAGAACCTCCACAAGCAAGTCAGCCACTGAGTCTTTCAGTGACGTCCAAGAATCACCCTGGTAACTTTCACTGCTACACCTGCTCTAGCTATCCCTCCACTACCCAGGCAGTTTCCGCCCCGGTCCAACCACTCCGGGTCCCACCGAACGTCTCGACCGAACCGTCTCCATCTCCGCGTCCGTCTGCGCAGTCCGCGGCAGTCTCCGTCCGCGCAGTTCGAGCGGGTCATCGACTCGGTCCTTCGGGTTCCAAGCGCAGGCGCAAGGCCATCTCCGCGTCGCGCGAGGCTTTGAAGGTCACAAAGCCACTGGCGCCGCAGAGCGACTCCTGGGGTTGGGTTTGGGGTGCCAGGGGGGTGCCAGGGGGGAAGTGAAGGGGTCTGGTATGTGTGAGGGTGAGCCTGGGGAGCATGAGAAAAAGAAGACATGATACACAGAACAAAGGACCAATGAAGGAAGAAGGAACACCAACTCAAGACAGATTCAACTCATTTCAACTCGAATGCAAAGTTCAAAAAATATCAAAGCCAAAACTCAAAACAGACTCAAAAGCACAGTCAAAGCAAACTCAAACAAAAACCCAACAAATACTCAATAGCAACTGAATTAGTTTTGAGTTACTGAGTCTGATTCTTCTTTGATCCCCTATTGTCTGGGATCATCATGTCTGAAATTTCTCAATGTGAGGTTGAGGTAGAGTTACTGAGTTATGGGTGGTACACACACATACATATATACCCTACACAACCAAACCCGATAAAATTGTAGGGTCTCAATCGGAACCTCGGGTATTCTTGTGAAATCTCAGGCATGTTCTAAAAACCTCGGGTCTTGTTTTTCTAAACTGTGCTAAAACCATATTTAACCCGTACTAAACCCATTTAACCCGTACATACCCGTATTTTAGTATATACTGGTTTGGAAAACCTGGGGTTTCCTTCAGAAACCCCAGGTGTTTCCATCGACCCTACAAATTTACAGGGTTTGGGTGCGTAGGGTATATATTATATATATATAAGATTATATAAGTACATCCCAAAACATTACCAGGCTATAGAGAGAGGAAGGGACAAAAAATAACTCAAAACTACTGTAGGTTTATGTATCAGGATAATCTAGCAGCCCGGATTAAGCACTTTTCTTCCCTCAAATGGAGGGGTATTGATGGGGGTATGTTACTGTTGTGCATTGCACACCCGTAACATCACGCGCAAGTACATTGCATGTTTGGTTTGATCCATTTGACCATGAGGCAGCAAGGTGCTCAACCAGGTATGCGTCAAGCACCACTGCACATGGCGCCTGGATCCCTCAAGTTCTAACATCTTGCACAAAGTTAGCCAACTTACCCTGATTGATGAGAAAAGACTTGTTTCGTTCTCCCCCTTGCAACTCATCTTCCTCCAATCTGAGGAAATTCAACACTTTGAACAAATGGTCTTTCCGCAGAAGCCTAAAAAAGAACGCAAAAACGTTGGAGCTCCCCGCTGCGCGCAGGCAGCGCTCTGCCTGGGTGAAGGCATCAGCGCTCTTGATCTGTTGCCGTTCGGTCTCCACAAGCCGGGTGAGATGCTCCTGGAAAACATCCGACGAGGCAAAGGACATGCATTTTCTGGCACACTCGGTTCTGAGTCGCAGGTGCTGACCTGTTGTAGGGTCCTGGTATAATAACATGTGAAACTGGAACCTGCATGGGTTCTAATTTTTCTAAATTTGTCCACATCCCAGAAGCTCCACGCCATGAGAGTTTGCAGAGTTGTCCGATTCATGCATGGCCAAAAGGGGAACCTATATTTAGCCTCCGGTTATCGCCCACACCGCCCAAGCGATCACCGGCCTCTCAACCCCGAGCGAACCGATTCGGCACCGGCCTTTCAACCCGCCGTTTCCGTCTGCAACGCCCAGCTTTCCCACGAGTTCCCACCACAAAGAGGGCTCCAGTAGTCGCGTGTAGTGCTCGATGCTGTCCACCGGCTCGGCCTCTTGTTGCAAAGTGATCTTGGGCCTCATCTCAGGGTCCTGCGCGGCAAAAACACTGTCCATGTCGAAGGATGAGGAACATCTGAAACAAGCGGAGGCGAGGATCTGTTTCTTTGGGGGTTGAACATCGGCGCCCGGATTCTGAAACCACATTTATATAGGTCTTGGACGTTGGGAACTCGCCTAGACAAGGAGGGTGTTGGGAGAATGCCAGCTGAATTTAAGAAAGAAACATAGCTGATCCTCATTGATCCTCCGAGGCCAGAAGATTCAACGGAAGGTGGATGGACTATGATGGACCTCCGGATGTGTCGTGAAAATATCTCTGCGCCCTGCGCCCAGTACAGCTCCACTCCTGATTGCGCTGCATCCACCTCGCATCAAAAGGGCTCAGATGGAGCAAATATGGCTGGGTATGGATGGACTACAGTTGAACACTTGTTCAAGAGCTTTGGTGCCCAAACACATGTCATCTTCCAGTGATAATTTTGAGAAGGATGCCTGGCGGCCAAGCATATCTGGCTCTACATGATAGATACGATGGACAAAAAGCATTCCTCGATGTCAAAGCAACCTGTATAGAAGGACAAGCCTCGTGAAAGGCATGCTTCAAAAAATGACAAGCCCCGGAACTCCAATCTCTGGGCACAACTTGCAGGTTATACATCCATGTGCCCCACGCACCAGTCTCGACTTCGCTTCCTTGCCCCTGGACATGGCGCTGATAGTGAGCTTCATGAAGCTTTTGCTCAGCGTCATCGAAGTCCTGCAAGAGACCAACCAAACCATGCAAATGCTTCACCTCGGCGGGAGTCAATTCAGCCACGGCGCACCCATGCGCACCCCGTACCCACGACTAGACTCTCCCGTGCCCGGGTACTCGCGTTGGTCGATCTTGGAGTGGGAAACCGGGAGTCCGGCTTGAAAAGCCCAAGAGTTTCATGAAGCCTTCAAACAGGAACGTTCGCATAGGGCACAGGGCATACCACGCGAGTCATATCGTGGGAGTCATCCACCTAGACTTCGACCTCGAGCATACGCGAGTGGCCAAAACTCACAAGTCTGATCCCTGATCGGCCCAGATCTTCAGCATCACACGGAGTATAATCAAAGTTGCGCAAATCAACCCATTTTGAGATGGGGATCCGCAAAAACAACAATGACAACTTTTGGTAATCGTGTATTCAACTTCGATTCTACATTGACCCAAAGTATGAATCAATTTATCTAATTATCTGTCTATGTACTATCTACTACATAAAATAGAGAAAATCAAATTGTATCTCGACTCGATTCCATCATGATTCCCTACCCTGAATCCCTTTCGGCTGGGCTGACGATGTAGACGCTCTCGATGGTGCCATCGGGGAAGAGCCGCTCGAAGTACGTTTTGAGCTTTGAGTCCGAACCTGGAGCAAACAGATCCAAGTCTTTTCCAGTTCAACTCACCACATCACTTTTCCGAAAAATAAGCCGTTTAGAAGGGCATGCCATATTTCCTCCACACAAACTTTTAATGCTTTTAAGGTCTTTTGAGATCAGTTCTCAATGTCGGCTTCAGAGTTTGTGGAAGAGTAGGAGGCAAAAATCACTCGGAAAAAAACAAGCATGCGCAGGCAGGCTCTAAATGCTTGTAGACACTTGCGGCACAAGTGGATCTTTTGGGGAACCTCCTGGAGAAGCGCCCTCAACAATTCACCATCACAATTAAAGCTAGGATATGACCGCGCGGATCTCTGTGACTCTGTGGCAGTCCAATGCAGCTTCTGCGACAGTCGCGGGGTCAAGAAACTGCACACATACAAACATGTTTTAGTGTTCCAACAATGGAGCAATCGAGCAGCCGCCAACGCCACAGGAATCACTAAGCTTTGAGATTGTCGCAAGAGTAGACTCTGGTTGATATGGAAAACAAAGAGACTATGGGAGACACACCCCCAAAGGCAGCAAGAAATACCAACAAAGCTGCCATTAAAAAGGAGCCCTTTACCACCCTTGGATCAGAATAGAATCCTTGTAAGTGAAATGTCCTTCACACGAGCCCCGGCAAAAATTGCGGTCTTGTATCATAAAAGGCTTCCCTGCTTTACCAGAAGTCTCAGCACGCAAACGGCACCGCATCTTTGTCAAATAGGAGACTTGTCCTAAAATACCAGCCAAAGATCAAAGCCCGCGTCCCAAACAAAACACCAAATTGATCTTCCAATTGTTTCATTCATGCATAGACACCTTTTCGACACTCATTGTGTGTAATGGGTGTTAGGTATTTTCTGTTCTTGTGGCATTTTGGGCTGCATGTTTATCTTTAAAGATCATCACCACGCTCGCTATTTATGTATACTGTAGGTTAAACATAAACACCATGCATGCAGTTCCACGAAATTCCGGGCGCTCCACCAGCAGCGGGCGCTGCCCAAGGCACGATAGCGGGGAGGGATGTTGGAGACGAGGATCCTGGAAGGACGAAGATGGCGAACATCTTCCACTGGCATTCTTTGTGGTTCATCATGGTTCAGTCTTCCACTCTGGTTGCTGCTTCTTTTTTTGCTGGTTGCTGGTTGTGGGGTTCAGAAGGTCATTCGAATCTTGAGATCTCCCCGAACGGGTGGGAAGAAAAGACTCCGGAGACATTTTCTCATACCAAGGCACCTTCCGGCTCTTGAGAGCTTTTTTGGGGGCTCGATGTGCAAATGGATATATACACTATCATATTCTGTATGCCATGGCCTACGTCTATCCTTTGTCGAGCCTCGTCGGATGACACCCTGAAACCCAATTTGTGACATGTGTGTGCCTTGTTTTTTCGCACAGACGGTTGATTAAACCAACACTGGATGGTTTTTTTGATTCATCAAGAGTCTACAGCCACCCTGAGCGTTTTGCCGAGATTCGTGGAGCTTTGTGGTTTGGGCCTCCTCTGGAGCCACTCGATGCGCCTCTGCACGAAGATCTTCTGCGCATCCCAAAGCATCCGCTGGACACCCCATACGACCAGCCAAGTGAAGACTGCCAGCGCCCAGCCTAAGTATTGCTTGGGTCTATCCTATTACCAGTATAGTATAGGCCTTTTAAAATAGTCATTTTAACTGTTTCAGGCAATGTGACAAACCCAAGGTATATATTGCGTTGGTTCTTTACACCCACTTCTTTTTCCTCTAGAAAGGGAAGGACAAACCGGCTTTTTGCACAGCAGGTGTTGTGTAGCACAAGGGTGCGTTGGGTAGCAGGCTTCTTCGAGTTGATCTCAACCCTGTGCTCCGTCCGCAAACGTCAAAGGGCCCACTGAGGTCGACAAACTGCCAAGCTGCGCATGGTGAGGTTACACCGGAGTGAGGCGATGCTAAACAAATCCAATGAGCTTCGAGGTGTGTGATGAACCTGGGCACAAGCTGCCAGGACCCTTGTCAGGTGGTGACCTCACTGACCCTCTAATGCCTTCAAGAAGAGGCTTCACGGGGGATTCTGCATGTTTTCCCTTAAATCAACTTGATTTGGCACAGACTCATAACAGTCCCGCAACATGCCCCAACGGTCAAATCAGCTGGTTGGTGAAATTTATGAAACGGACACCTTCTCGTCCTTCTCCATCTGTCTTCCAAGTTCTTCGGAAACGACACACACACACATACGCCGCTGACATACGCCCTTGATTCTTCTCAATTTCCCAAGAAACTCCGAAGATGAATGTCTGCCCCTATGAGCCCAACAAAAACTGATTGTTGGAGTCCGGGATTTGCTGGGTTCATAGGGGTTATGCGGTACAACATGGTACAACCTTGTTTGTCCTCTTTCCCCTGATCGATGGAGGATGATTGGACGATGCACCCAAGAACAGGGCTTCATCCAACATCATCCAACCATCCTTGTTGCCACGTTGCAGCGTTGGGGCACTGATCTCCATACGCACCTGTGCTGTGAATGAACGAGGATGACGAATGATGACGCACAGGAGTACGGTCAGGACATCAAATTCTTTCCGGCCGGTCATGTAGTTCCAAGCAAGACTCATGAAGAAAGCTGATGACTTATCACAGTTCCTCCATTTTCTGAACGCAACCACCGTGACAAGTACTCAAGTGACTCAAGATCAATCTACATACACTCCCTGGAACTTGAAAGTGGATGGCATGGCCCCTTGGACCATGAAATCCTCCTCCAAACCAGGGGGGTGAACTCCATGTTCGTTCAAGAGAGTCTTCCACCGTACTCGTGCAACTCTAGCGTCGGCTCCGGTGGTCATCTGAGACACCTGGATGTTTCCCGAGGACATAGTAGGATGGAAGGCACACGAGGGCGATTGGGATGCCGATGTACCTGAGCGGACCCGATGTCGTGACACGGAATCGAAGGACTTCCAGCGACTCCGAAGAAGTGGTCGATCTGTATCGCCAACGCATGAGAATCGCCGCATGAAGTCCAAACCTCATGAAGTGACACCTGGTGGAGGCCTTGACACCTGGTGGCCAGAGGTTTTGACAATTTGACTCTCCAAGCCGAGTCGCGCACAAATCTTCATGCCAAGATGGCAGAATTCCACTAAGAGTGCCCCATCCAAGCCGGAATATTCCTGCGACGAATTCACTTTAAAGCAGCTCTAAAGATCTGAGATTGACCCTACACATACACTGGCAAGTGCTTCATACATTCCCTGTGGTTCCTTAGCTCGTTTAAAGGGGAATCTGGCATACCTCCTGCTCCGTTGCTTCCTTCCAACCACTGGCTAGTGTGCCTCCCGGCTAACATCTTTGAGATGTGCTTTCTTTCTATGTATTTGGGGACCTGTACGCTGTACAACTGACGGTGACGACTGGATTCTTCCATTTGGTGGTTGTTTTTTCTGCCTTCCATTTCCGCTCTCCACGTGATGATGCCACGACCATCCAACAGAGTCCATATCATGCTGCGAACGATGCGACAAAAAAGGTCTCTTCGAACATGACACAGTGAAGATCGATGAAGTGTGAATATTGCTTTTATGCCTGACGGATCCTTGTCATAATGACCACTTCAAACACCTGGCTGAAATGAAATGTCAATGGTGCTACCCTTATCATCCCTTATCCAGTGGTGCTTTTGTATGCTGTTGTGTGAATCACTGAGCATCCCCCAGCGCCTGAATCTCATCCCGGCTCAACGTGCAGCCGTAGTAGGAAGGTCGCGGTTCAGGCGATCGACCGCGGCGGCTGTTGTCCAAATACACAATGGGCTGAAAATGCCTGGGGAAGCCCAAGCGCAGCACATTCACAGCATCATACAGTATACCCCAAATGATCCGACTAGAGAAACAAGAAGGCTACATCCACATGCGTCACATCCTCAATAAAATGACATGCAAGGCATACGAGAAACAATGATTCTTTTTCCAACAAGGCATTTTTTGTTTCTAGAGGATTCACTGTTCGACGTGCCGGTCACCGACTCCTTTGTTGAACGACCTACGCAACAGAAAGACATGTCAAACAGCCCTGACTCTGACACCAGGGGCAGCTCGGAAGAGAAGAACACAACACGAACTGCCCTGACTCCCTGACTCATGGAATTTCTTCAAACAGCTTGTCTGTGCGGCATTCCTTTCGACCCCTGTGCGATCCTGCTCCCGTTGCATCCATGGTGTTCTTCCCTTGGTCCCAACGCAGCATCCAAACACTCCTCTTTTTCGCTTGTTGGGCGGGGTTTGGTGCAGTGCAGCGCTGTCACAGTGACGCCCAAAACTTCACAAACGTCCAGCCATGTGACTGAAGCAGGGCAAAGGCCACCAAATATGTAAGGATCAGAAGCAAGTTGAACACAAATGAGGTTCGCAACGTCTGGCAGTTCGCTGCTGCGAGGGTCGGGTTCGTTGGATGACTTTCTCAGCCGAGACCCACACATCCAAGAGATCGAACATTTATGTTGTTTCATCTTGTCATATGTGTTTCAACTGGATTCTTAAGGGGGCACATGACAATGAGCGAATGTGTTAGTTATGGACACATTGAATGACCTGAATGTTGCATGATGATGAATTCACACCGTTGGCATTTACAGAGTCACATCTTGTTGGGGCAAGCTTTCCTGGACCAACTGGATGGATCAAAGGTGTTGGGATGTGTTGGTCGGTCGAATGGAGACTAGCTCAGTAGGTTCCTGGCCTGGGCCGGTCACATCTGAAACGCAGCGAACGTCATTCAACTGACACGTTCAGTGAACGTCACCCTCGTCGAGAGTCGAGCACCCTCGTTGAGAGCCCGAACCCACCTCCACATCTAAGCTGCTGTTGGTCTTCAGCCCGAGTTGTTCTTGATACACTTCACTCCCACTGTTGCTCCCTGGGGCGGGCGTTGTCTCTTGCCATTTACGGTTGGTGTGAGGGACGGAAAGAGATCCAAGTTCACCACCTCACGTTGGAATTCGACGACATAATACCATAATTTTGTGTAGACCGGCTCAAGCTTGTTTGAGCTGTCTTAGGTCTGGGGGAACGGTGAAGCAGCACAGTTGTGGATCTCCTGAGGCTTTGAGTGCTTGGGATGACCAAACGGTTTGCTCTTGTTGGGTGTCGTGTGTGTGTGTGTGTGCACCTGGTCAGACATCTGTGGGAAAGCAAACGGAATTTGGAACAGGGACAGGGAATACATGGAGAAACATGTAAATATATTGTTTACTTATAATTAGAATAACTAACAACATACAATGTAATAAACAAGATATTGTTTGTGAACGAATGTTTTCTTATGTAATAAGAAAGGGCAATATTTACAAGAATAACATGTTCTCATAATGGTGACCAGTCAAAACAAACATTTAAAGCACGATTCTTCCAAAAAGTGTACGATTCAATTTTTCATTTGAACAAGTCAGAGGAAACATTCAGCATCCTAAATAGACTGCCACACTTGGTTTTATGTCTTGCTACGAAGTCGTAAACATCTGGGCTATCCAACAAACGTTGAAAAGAACATTGGTCCCTTGCAAAGGGTTTTCATTTCCTTGTTCGACCATCTTCACCCTGAATGGAGTGCTCTGCGGACAACTCAAGAAGGGGCCATGGCAATATTGATCCTTTTTCCACAGTGGCATGGGCTCTGCATGATCAAAGCCCAAACCCTTGCAGTGTCTCTATCCGTATGGATCCACACACCCTATGAGAAGGTGGTTGGAGACACTTCTACATAGGCATGGAGGGTACTAAGCACCAGCTGAGAAGGTATGTGGATCCCAGGGGGTAATGATGGACAAAGTTTTCTCAATCACCCTTGCGGTGCATTTCACTGGCAACTCTTAAAGCTGGCGGTCTATTTTGAGGACTGCTGGCCAAAACCTCAAGCGGTGGTTTCTCTCATCGGTTGCCCCAAGAAGCAAAACCATGCAAAGTAACATTCGGAATTTGAGAAAGTCCTGAGAAGGGAACATCTGAAGCAGTACACCATAGTGTTTGAGCGCTCGCATCGGTCATCGACCCCACCCAGCAAAGCACGGCGATGGCGAACCTGTTTGGTTGGGCCGACGCTCAAAGACAAAGTTTGCAACCTGTTCAGTGAGATTCAACGGAGGGCTTTCTCAGGTTAGCTACTGGTAGAACCACATCAAAAGCAGGCATGGATGCTATTTGGTGTGGCAAAAGTTCCAAGGCAAATCTCTTGCACTGATTGGCAGCACCAAACCTCTTGACATCAAAGCTCTTGTATTCGACCCCTTACAAAGCCACATGTTCGCATATGTTCGCCTACAGAACAGGTGAGCTCTAGACAATGCTAATCATGCTAATCGCTCTTATTGATGCCTAGGCATAGTGGGCTTTGCCGGGAAAATGACCCACCTTCTGAACATCGTCTTTCAATGTGTCGACGACCTCCTGAGGCCATCAAGGCAATTCAACCCATGCTGAACACTATATAACTCTCTCTCTCTCTCTCCATATATATATATATATATATAATGACATGCCCATGAAAACGACAAGGTCGGTCCATCAATGGCATGATTTTTTGTAAATATGCAAATGGAGGCCTTGTCAGCCGGTTTCGTCTCAGTTGCCAAGGCATGGCAAAGCACGCCATTGACTTAGTGTCTGTTGTATAGGATGTATTCATATACAGTTTATACACGCATTTGTGGGGTATCCCGTAACAGTAGGATGGTAAATGTGTTGGTTGGGCAGCGGCCACAGGAAGCAATACTTATGATACTGATGATTGTTGCGCGCAAGCCACAAATTTCGACCCCCTCCAGCTAACTCGCTGTGACTCTTTGTGCTTCCCTCTCCTTCATGGTATCATTCATGCTCTGCGTCTGAGCGGTGACCTGCAGGGGTTTACTCTCCTTCTCTTGCACAGGGAGGTGGCCCATATTAATATGTAAAACATGTTGTGCGCATATATATATGTAGACGTGTATAAATGAGATATACAACACATATACAGATACATGCGCACACACACATGTATATATATATATATACATAAATATATTATACACACAGGTTCCGAGAGTAGATGGCACAATCTCAATCTCCAAGAGAAGCTTTGCATATCTTTGCATGGGACCAACAAACATCTTTACCGCTTCGATGATTGATATCCAGGGTTCACTTTGAGGTGGTACCCCCAGCAAATTTCCATGAGCACACCCATGGTTCTCCATACTGAGAAAAACACACACAAAAAGGGCAATGTCCCGAAAAGGGGCCAGGGCTCCAAACAGCTTCCCTTCCTGTCTCTGTTCGGGAAACCTATCTCCAAGCTGCTGAACTCCAGCCTGAATGAGCATGAGATGCTCCCCAACCTCATCGACCTCATCAAGGAACTGGTCCCTGGGGCGCTCGCCAACCTCCGAATGGACTGCTTCAGGAAAGGCTGCCAGGGTGGCAAGAAGTGCCCAGAGCGTCATGCCACGGCCCAGCATTGCGCTTTTTCTAAAGAAGGAGAGCAAGATGGAAGCGACACCTGACCGGTGTCTGGTAGACTTGGAATCAATGTAATTGAGGCTACAAGCTTTGGCCTTTTGCCTTTCGTAAGTGGGTTGGCTTCGCTGCTCCGTGTGGCATTTGGCCAACAAAACCACCAATGGCATCAAACCCATGGATGTGGCCCAGCATGGAACCCACGCCGGGCCGGTGTGAGGTACGGTACCCGTCTCGAGCCAAAAGGTATCCCAAAAGGCAGATGCCGAGACGCATGCGGGAATTTTGGGTGTCTTCCAAGCAGATGTAGGTGTATGTGTTTAAGAGGCATTTACAGTAATCATATTTCATCTGCATGAATCTGTATTGTCTTGGAGACCTCTTGAAACAACATGAAACAACCAAATGTGATTAAATCTATCAAAGAGGTTGGGATCTAGTTCAATTCAAAATTTAAAGGGGTGGGTGGTTTGCCATGTTTTGCCACGCCCTGGGGTGCTGAAGAAACAGGCAAGGACATAGCAGATCTGGCAGCCTCCCCACAGCCTCCCCAAGGCTACAGTATGCGATCCTTCTCTCTAATCCTTTCAACTGCCTTAAGCCTTGCAAAGGATCCGGATCACTTTTTGATGTATGCGAGAACCACATGCGATGGCTGCTCCTCCAGTTCTGGGCTGGCCTGGAGTCTTGCAACTCACATCATCCTGTCAGGTGAAACATTTTCCACTGCAGCTGACGTCTCCATCCAGCGGCTCGCACCAATGGGGCTCGCGCCTTCTCAAAGCTGTCTTGGCTAGCTGTCTCGCCCTCACATCCACGGTCACAAGGCGTCGCCGGATTGCACCACCTTCCTGGCTGGGCTCCATGCATTCTGCATTCCAGTCAGTGGGTGCAGCAGTTCCTTGCTTCACCACTGAGCATCTCTCACTAGTCACGATCTCGGTGACCGATCTTCCCAGACTTCCCAGACGTGTGGCTGATCCATCTAAGCTTGTCTGATGTGTCACCGAAACATGTTGACATTCTCCTCAACCTCTTTGCAGTCATTCCCGACCTGCCCAGTGGCTCGGCTCCGAACCTTCATCTGAATCCTCAAGCGTTCTTGGACTCTTTGGCGGTTGACCACGTGAGCGTGTCGTGCGGGGCCGGGCCCGCAGGGCCCGCAGGGCTCCGGGCTGCAGGACTCAGCACTCCTGAGCTTGGATGTCTTTCCCAAAGAGTTGGGAACTTAAGCATCACTAGCGACGGTGAGATGGGCAACTTCAGTTCCAGCCTGGATCAGTCTGGAAGTCCTTCCCAGTGTGGGATGATGAAATCACAATGAAGTCCGTCAAATGGCCAAGCTTGCACAAACACATGTCCAAATGCAAAGGCGGAACGAGTATACATGCACTAATGTTAAGCCTTAAATAAATGACTTTGACATACCCTACCCCATATATATATATTTTTATTACTAGCATTATATTGTTACCATACAATCCAAGAACCTCTCTTCTATCAATCTAAGCCTCTCTCAGCCTGCAGATTCAAGCGATCCAAGATGTGGAGAACAGGCCGATGGCAACCCGCACGCAGGACGCAACAGGCAGCAGCATCAAGACCTCAAAGATTCTGTTCCACCATGTTCCACCGCCAGAAAGGTGCCAAATGCATGAGCATATGGCAAAGGAGTTATATACATATAATATTTATATAAAGTAACCATTAGGTAATGTATAGGCTCTTGATTTATAACCTCCCCGTGCTTCAGATTGAACAACAACTTCATATGGGAGGTCTATTAATAATCAAGAGTCTACATTAGACCTCTCAGCACTTGACGCCAAGATGCTCACGATGGACATGACGCCTCCTCTCCCCCGCCACAACTCCACCGTCTCGCGCCAGCGCTCGGAGGTGCACAAGCTTGCGGCGCAGGCCTGAGACGCCCGGTGTCTTCGTCTTCGGCCGTTTGGTCGTCGCTGGAGCCTCTGTTGTCGAGCGTCGAAGATTCAATCATCTGATCCAACATCCACTGCTGTCAAACCAAAAGTTTGACCTAATTGCTACCACTAAACTATGTATATATACAATTATATACAATCATCAACAATCATTGTAATTTCAAACGTTGAGAAGCCAGGTCATTTGTGATTGTGCTACTTCAAAAGTTGCCTTGACTGTGCTCAACAGGAGAAAACTCGACCGCCCAAGATCAACGGGAGAGTTGCATTGTAGCAAGTCTCATCTGGAGAAGCGCCTTGGAACGATCGCAAAGGTGGGACACCACACCAACCATCATTTCCAGGTGCATCAACTGCGAGTTCCCATGCCTTAGGGAGTGCTAGTGGGAACACATATGATTTACAGCGGCTGTGGTTTCTTGCTCATTCTGCATGGTTTACAACCTTGTCACCTTGTCATTCCATGCTCTAAGTTGATCCTTCGGAAATGCATTAATATATATTGTGAATTTCGAACCTTTCGGTCACTGAGGAACCAGTCTCGACCCACTCAGGTGTGTTCACGTCCGAAGCCACGAGTGTGCGAGGCCGCAAGGGTGGTGTAGGGTGGGTCACCCGTGACCTGAGCCATAGAAGCAGTGAGGACACTGCAGGGCGAGCCAGGTTCCATCTTTCAAGCCTTGGTGAGACGGACCTCACTGAATGGTCACGGAAAGTAGAGTTCCTGGCATCACTATGGACTCCAGAACAACTACACCTGCTTGCCCCACGAGTTGCATTGCAATGTGAGGGATCAGCCTTTCAGAGAGTTGCCAGACTGGACCCAAAGGAGCTGCGTGTTGGAAACTTGGAGGGAGTGAAGGCCATCGTGGAGGCCCTTGGGGGGATTTGGGGAAAATCCCGATTGGAGGACAAGTTTGAAAGGTTTGAGCGTGCAATCTACAGCACGGTCCAAAGAGCCGACGAGACCCATGAGAGCTATCTAGCTTGGCGCGATCATCAATTCGAAGAGTTGCTGAGCATGAAGGTCGGCATGGATGAGTTTCGTGCATACATCTTGCTTCGCAACTCAGCCCTGAGCTCAGAAGACAAGAAGAGACTGATTGTTGAATCGCAGGGTTCACTGGAGTACAGAGAGGTGGTATCCAATCTGAAGATCCTGGGGAGTCGATTCTTCCATGAGGTCCACTCCAGCGGAACGCAGAACAATCCAAGGACCAAAACCTATGAGGCCAATGCGTTCATTGCCCAAGAAGCTGATGGTCACGACCAAGCACCCGACGAGCCCACCTACAATCTCGATGATTGGACCGAGGAAGAATGGATTGAGAGTCTTGCAAATGATGGTGACGAGGACGCCGCCATGATCATGGAGTATGAATCCACAATGTTGGATGCAGTGCAAGACAACGAAGATCTAGCATTGACACAATCATCATACATGGATGCCCGTCGCCGCCTGTCAGAGCGCTTCAAAAGCCGTGGGTTCTGGCCAACAAGTCAGAACAAAGGCAAAGGAAAAGGGAAAGGGGGTGAAAAAGGAAAGCGATCCCCCTACTCCTCAAAGTTTTCTGGCAATAGAAAGAGCCTCCAGCAGAGGATCATGGAGAGCAGCTGCAGGATTTGTGGCCGAAAAGGCCATTGGAAGGCTGAATGCCCGCAACGTGGATCTCAGTCGGTCCCATCGACAGCTGTTGCTCCTACACTGGTGACAGTGAATGATGAGCAGGACGCGCTGCCACTGGAGTTCATGGATTTGCCAGAGCTGACCAAAGAGACGCTCAACGCCACCCAAGAGAATACGAAACAAGTTTTGTGTGTGTTGTGAATCAAGGGACACCGGTGTTCTGAGGGGTTTGTGGGAGACCAATGAAGGGGAAATCATTGATTCAGCCCACAAAGGGGAAATGATCACCGAGTGTGAGAATTTTGATGTCAGGACTAGCTTGCCAGAGAGTGCGTTTGCTAGCACCGCCCAATCACCTGAAGCCAAGTCGATGCATGACACCGAAGCCAGTGCATTCTCGAGCTTTTCAACTCGCGATGCCCTGGGAATCGTAGATACAGGTGCTACTAAGACCGTCATAGGAAGCGGTTTCGTAGCCAATCTCCTAGCCGCACTAAGGCCAGAGGTTCGGAAGCAGGTCCAAAGGTGTCGTTGTTCAGTGGTTTTTCGGTTTGGGAATCAAGGGACACTTGAAAGCAAGCATGCACTCGTTGTCCCAATCGGACCGCTGAAGCTCAAGATTGCCATAGTGCCAGGCCATACACCTTTCCTGCTGTCGAATACTCTGCTCCGAGCCATCGGAGCCACCGTAGATATAGCTGGTGAAGTGATCAAAAGCACTCTCTTGAAGCGCAATATTCCAATTCAGCTGAATGCCAAGGGTTTGTTTTTAATTGATCTAAATGATCTGATCACACCCACCAGTCAAGATGCCGAAGCTGAATCTGCCGAGACCTTCGCCACTTTGAATTGCAAAAGCTTGCCAAGTGTCTCTGTCCAGAAGCCTGGACAAGTGCAGTCGGAAACCAAGACCATGATGAAACAGAACGTTCAGGTGAGGACAGGTCTTGTAACAAGCAGAATCCAACAGTTCGAAGCCGCCATACCCGAATCAACAAAGACCCATACGAACACAAAGAAACCAAACGAACGTCCGAGCGTTCGCGGGGGTGAGAAAGTCTCATTCGAATCGGTTCCAGGGGGGTCCAGCCCGGTGTCATCCGTTTTGGGTTCAAGACCGGATCTGTGCAATCACACACGTGTGACCATCCCATTCGTTCACCTGTGCCGCATCACTATCATGCCGACCTCCGAAGCAGCCGCTCTGAGTGCCCGCTTGGCACGTGTCATGGGGGAAGCAAAGAAGGAAGAAGCCCTCGATCAGCTCGAAGCCTTCAAGCTCCTATCACTGGACGAAATGGGCCAAGCCAAGATCGATTTCGGATCAGCCCATCTCGGTCGGACCTACTCGGAGATGTGGGAAAAGGAGGGCAAGTATGTGAAGTGGTTCCAGGCAAGTTACCACTCGTCGAACAAGGTCAACCATCAGAAGTTCATCCACTACATCTCACTGAGGGTGACCTATGCCGAGCACCAACTGGGTCTGAACAGTCAAGACCTGCAGCCATCACCAAGTCAGAGGCCACTTCATCCGGCTCTCAAGAGCAAGGCCAAGGCCAAGCCGATTCAGGAAGTGACCCCGCAGGACTTGGCAGATCTTGCCGAGGACGAATCCTGGGAACCAGTTCAGGAGATCGAGATCCAGCCAGAGATCTACACGGAGATGGCAGCCATGGACACCCGCCTTCAGACCATCGAAGGTGCGATGCAGGAGATCATTGCCCACCTCCGGGCTTCATGAGCTCGTCATGGCTAGACTCCTTCGAGGAAGCTGATATACATGTATCGTCCATGTGCCAAAAAGATGTCAGTCCAGGTAAGACTCACAGTCTGTCCCATAAATTCCATGCACTGGTTCAGCAAATCTCAAAGGAAGCCAGTCTAGCAAGGGGTGATCCAGTGATCTCGAACGGATGCAGCCGTCTGCATTTGCTGGAAGTGTTTTGTCATGAGGCCAGTGAACTGACGAAGCAAGTCCAATTGCTGGGCGGCAGAGCCAACCGTTTTGGAAGGGCGCAGGGGGACCTCAAAACCAAGGAGGGGAGAAGTGTTCTGTTTCAACTGGTGTGGAAACAAAGACCCCGTCACATATGGTTCAGTCCCACCTGTGGACCATGGAGCGCATGGAACACGTTCAATGAAATGAGATCAATCCAATTGTGTGAACATGTTCAACGAGAGAGAGAGTCACACTTGTTCGAACTTGCACTAGGAGTAGTCTTGCTTCGCATGTCACAAAAATCCATCATGTTCAAGACCCCACTCCTGCAAGAGCTGTATTCATTTACTCAGGAAGCCAATTTCGACATGTGTCGCGTAGGCCAGTTGACATGTCCAGAAACGAACAAACTCATACAAAAGGAGATGGCTGTAAGAACGACATCGCAAGAGATGTATGCCTCGTTGCATGGCCGGGTGTGTCGTCGAGATCATGAGCACAGACCCATTGCCGGATCCGTGACAACGCCTCTCGGGAGAATCACCGTCAGTAGCTATACAGAGAACTATCCAAGAAAGTTTGCAAGACAAGTAGCTAAGGTGATGTTGAAAGTGAAACATGAGCCATGGGTTACTGCCCTTGTAACCAGAGGAATAGATCAACCGAGTGAGGAAAGTGCATCCAAGCGGATCCGTGTGAGTTCTCCCACGCAGAAGTCCCAAGGTGGGCGACTGCCACCAACACCCCTGGAGCAATTGTCGAACGAGTGCAAGCGCCGCCGCATTGACGGCAAGACGGCCGAATCGCAGAGTATGAACATGTCACCTCAGAGACAACTAGAAGAAATCATCAAGGACATCCAACCAATGTTGCCAAGAGTAGGGAAGACTTTTATCACAAACCACCAAATCTTGGAGAGGCTTCAAAACATGTTCCCCGAAAAAGAAATCAAGAAAGTTCAAGCATGTAAGGGATCAGATCGAACATTGCCACCGCCAAGGGATTTGGTAAAGAATGAGGCCCCATATCGTCGTGCCATCATCGTAAGCCGAATAGGGGGGGTAATCCAAGTAGAAAAGGACTGGGAATACTGGCGAGACCTGTCTCATCGGCAGCAAGTCCGCCCAGCACATCCCGCAAGAGTCAATATCACAATGTATGCATGTTTGCCCCGGCCCCAATCCAAGTCAGAAGCATCAGGTGATTCGACCGAACAGAATATGAGTCCCGAGGCAACGGGAACAAGCGTCGAGCCGCAGGAGGCAACCGTCAGCCTGCCAAGTAGTGACCAAGCACCTGTCACAGAGCTGGATCCGGATCAGAGCAAAGAGACAGGAGCGAGTTCGAGTCAACTCCATATGCCGAGCTTTGACCATGGCCCAAAGTTCAAGACCATATCAGCCGAAGAAAAATCGTTCTTGCTGAAATTGCATCAGAACCTAGGACACCCTCATGGTCAAAAGCTGTGTTCAATGCTGCGTCAACAGGGGTACTCACCCCGATTGTGTCAAGCTGCCATGGACCTAAGTTGTTCCGTATGTCAGAATACTAAGGAACCCAAACATCAAAGACCTTCTACAATCAAACGTGAGCTAGACTTCAACGACTGTATTGGGATAGATGGTGTTGTATACACGAATCTGGCAGGAACCAACTTCCACTTCTATCACATCATCGACTATGGAACAAACTACCAGGTAGCATGTGCAAGCCCAGGTAAAAGCAGTGATGATGCAATAGACAAGGTGCTCAATGGATGGCTCCAATGGGCAGAGGCTCCGATTGAGATTCACACAGACTCAGGGACGGAATTCACATCCAAGGAATTTGTCACTTTTCTAGGCCAGTTCAACATCGAAGCAATAGTTACCCCACCAGGTGCACACTGGCAAATCGGAAAAGTAGAAAGACATGGTGGAATCCTACAGGAAATGCTCAAGAAGTATGAACAGGAACATCCAATAACGTCATACACCAACCTGCAGACAGCACTATCGCACTGCACTTCTGCCAAGAATGCACTGAGCCAGAAACAGGGATACTCCCCAGAAACTCTTGTTTTTGGAAAAGGGTCCAGAATTCCAGCATCAATCTCATCGGACGAGCAATTGCCATCGCACCTCCTGGCAGACGATGACACCCAGGAAGGAATCAGATTTCGAGAAAAGCTGGCATACCGCGAAGCTGCACGACGAGCTTTTCACTGTGCAGACAACAGCTCTGCGTTGCGAAGAGCTGTTCTCCGGCGAAGCTGTCCTCACCGAGGATCCTATGACAGGGGAACTTGGGTGATGCTATGGAGACAGACTCCAACCCAACGGGGGTGGTTTGGTCCAGCCAGAGTCATCCAACAAGAAGGTCCCCATTGTCTTTGGTGCAATCACGCAGGAAGCTTGGTAAAGATAGCCCCTGAACATGTTCGACCCGTAAGTGCCATGGAAGCTCAGCATATCCCCCGAGCTCTAAGTCCGATCGCAGGGATTGAAGGCGAAGATACACAAAATGCAAACATTCGTGAACAAGCGCCCGCAACTCCACCAGAGAGCCAAGAAGATAGCAATATAATCCCACAACACGTAGGAACAGGAAACACATCGAATTCGTCAGAGGTCCAGCCAGATCAAGAGCCCTCGATTCCAGAGAGTCAAGGGTCTCCAGCGAGCCGACAAAGCATCGAATTGCCGAGTGACCCCGGCGGTCATCAGGATGCAGCAAGTGTGCTGGTCTCAAGCGAAGCATCCGATCTCAGTGATGAACTCGTATGTGACTCCCTACTAAGTGTAGAAGATCAGGTCAACTGGTGCCAAACCCAAATAGACTCAGAAGCCGTAGGATGGAAAGCTGAATTCCTGTTTCCCCAAGAAACAATGATGAAATGGGATGAAAACTCACCAGCAACAGATCTTATCATGATGACTACCACCACCAAGCGTGACCGAACAGAAGTAAAGATGCACCAATTGTCCACCGAAGAACAAGCTCTCTTCCGTCAAGCAAAGGAAAAGGAGATCACAAATTGGTTAAACACAGGGACGGTGAGTAAAATCTTTCGGGATCAGCTGTGTCCGGAACAGGTAATGCGTTGCCGCTGGATATGCGTATGGAAACCCCTTGATGCTGACGACCTTCAAACCGGATCAACTGAGAACGTCAGACCAGGACCAAAGACCCATAAACCGAAAGCACGTCTAGTAGTCCTTGGATATCAAGATCCCCAGTTAGACAGCATACCCCGGGACTCGCCGACACTTGGAAAGCAATCCAAAATGCTCTTGTTGCAAGCAATATCATCCATGGGATGGACTCTGAAAAGCTTCGATATCAAAGCTGCATTTTTGCAAGGCAAAACGCAGGAAGATCGAGTTCTAGGCCTGGAACCTGTTGAAGAACTTCGAAAGGCATTGAAACTTCAACCCAATCAAATCTGCAAACTCGAAAAATCAGCCTACGGTTTGATCGATGCTCCTTATTTGTGGCATAAGGAATTGGATCGGACCCTTCGTGATTTGAACTTCATTCCAGCACCCTTCGACCCATGCGCATACGTACTATACAAACCAGGACAAAGCAAAATTTCGGGGGTCCTAGGAGTTCATGTTGACGATGGACTAGGTGGAGGAGATCAATACTTTGAAGAACAAATCTCAAAGCTAGAAGCCAAATTCCCACTTGGATCAAAGAAAGTAGGTCAATTCACGTTCACTGGTGTTGAGATGAACCAACAGGCAGACAAAAGTATCATCATGTCCCAATCCAAGTATGTAAGCAAGATTGAGCCAATCCACATGAATGCAAGCAGACGAACATGTCTGACGGATGAAGCGACCTCTGAAGAGAGACACTCGCTCCGTGCACTTGTGGGAAGTCTTCAGTACGCGAGCATCAACACGAGACCGGATCTTTCAAGTCGACTAAGCTACATCCAAAGTGAGATCAACAAAGCCACGGTCCAAACGTTGCACGATGCCAACCGTGTACTTCATGAAGCAAAACGATACAAAGACACATGCATCAGAATCCAACCCATCCCAATCAAGGATCTCAGATTCTTGTTATTCTCGGACGCATCATTTGCGTCGGCCAAGAGCCCAGAAAGTCACACAGGCATGATCATCTTGGCCACCCATAGGGATATAAGTGAGAACTATCAATGCCCAGTCAGCCCGTTGTCCTGGGGTTGCCGCAAGATCCAGAAAGTAGTTACGAGTACTTTGTCAGCCGAAACAACTTCGCTCCAAACAAGCTTAGACCAGCTATCTTGGATGAGACTCTATTGGGCATGGATCCAAAACCCCCAAGTCAATTGGAAACGACCACATGAGGTTTTTAAGAGTGAACCCAAACCAATCCAATCTACCACAGCCTTAGCCCAGTGTTTGCCACGATCAGTAGCTGTCACAGATTGCAAATCTTTGTATGATTTGGTTACCCGAACTGCTCAACCAAATTGCCAGGAATTCCGTACACAACTTCAAGCAAAGGCAATAAAAGATTTGCTATCCGAAGGCATTCAATTAAGATGGGTCCATACAGGAGCTCAGCTCGCTGATGCGCTAACTAAGGTGATGCAAGGAACTTTCCTCCGATACACTTTGCAACGAGGCATGTATCAACTAAATGACGAACTGCAAGTGCTGAAAGAGCGAGCTGACAGCAGAACACGCCTTAGGTGGCTTGAGTCCGGGATCCCTCTAATGGGAGACCAGCAGCAAGAAGGATGATCGACACACAACCAAAGAAAAAGATTGATAGAATTTTTGATGAGTGTGAATTTCGAACCTTTCGGTCACTGAGGAACCAGTCTCGACCCACTCAGGTGTGTTCACATCCGAAGCCACGAGTGTGCGAGGCCGCAAGGGTGGTGTAGGGTGGGTCACCCGTGACCTGAGCCATAGAAGCAGTGAGGACACTGCAGGGCGAGGCGCCCGACCGTTCGTACCAACCTTCAGGTGAGCTGTGAGTGGAAAACGCACGCGGCTGTGCGAGGGAAGGAGGATCTTTTGTTGCTACCTTTGTGTCAATCACTATATATATATATAAATAATATACTAATCAAATGAATTTCCCGAACAACTCTTCTGTTTCTGGAGAACCTGCTCCCAAAATGGTTGAAGAAATATAAAGTACAAGAAAATTAAATAAACATTAGTCATGGGAGGGTAAACAAGCTTCACTTGGACCCGGGTTTGAAGAACATTGGCATCGATTGATTCGGAATATATATATAGAAGCCAAAACAAACCCAAACTTGGCCAATTGCTGAGCCAACAATCCCTTTCCCCTATTGTTGATTTTTTTGAAGTTGGTAGTGCACATCTGTTCATGTCAGATCTGCCGCAAGTTCCCCCTCATCTGCTTCCAAGTGTCGTAAACGCTGTCCCAACAGAAAGGTGTGCAGACCTTTCGCTGCCAAATCACAGGAATCCAAGGCAATGGATCACACAACACCTTTAATATTTGTATGATACCATGTTGATCATCTGCGTGGGCAAAAAAAGCACATGCAGCCGCGGAGTTCCCTCTCAAACGTCTATAATTATTAGATACATTTGATGTATTCGTATTCGTTGCATTAATTAATATGGATTAATATTATTTTGGCCGAATAATGAAATAGAAATACAATATATATATATAAATATATATTATATAAATAAGCGCCATTGCCAGCTCAGACCCGTGCAGCCATTTCCCCCGGGTTATTCATCCATGACGAGTCGGAACCGCGGTCTGTGAGATATGGTTTGGAAGATCTTTGAAAGGACGATCAGTCTGGAAGATCTTCAACGCATTTGTGTGGAATGGCTGCACGCGACTCGGTACAAATCGCTCCTTCTTGTGAACTAACTACTGCTGACAATTGGTGGCACTCCTCATGGCCCTGGCGAATGAAATCCTGAAGCATGAACGAATCTGTCATCCGCTACATGTCTTATATGTCTTCAGTGTGTCGCCAGATGTTGCCAGTTGGTCGTTTTGGGACCAAAGACCAAAGAATGCCAGGTTGGACATGTTCACGTGCCGGGTGGATCCGAGCGGCAGAACCGCCATGTGCCACAGCGTAGCAGCGTTGCGAGGCAAACCTCGTCCAGCGGCTGCTGTGCGACATGCAAGCCCCGCAGCGTTGTCTCGACTGAGGCAGGCCAGCGCCTGTTGGGACGGTTGCAGCCGCTTGGGACGGGCTTTTGACATTGCGAGGATTGCTTCGTGATGTGCAATTGAAGCACGCAGTCAAATTTTATTTCCTGGAAAGCAATCATGGCACAAATTGAGGCACGTCCTAGCATGCATCAGGTTTCGGGACGTGGATATTGTTTGTGGACGCTGTGACAAGCTACCAGAAAGCTTGGAAGACAGGGCTTCCTCCCAACGGCGCGGCTCGCTGGGCCTCGGCATCGAAGAAAAGCTGAGCTCATCAGGCTGCAATCTGCCGCTTCGAGCGAGGGTGAAGAGTTCAACAGCCACAGGCCAGTGTGGAGCTGAGGTGTCCTGCTGCCTTGGAGGTGTGCTGCTCCCAGGTGGATGTGGTCAGAGTAGAGGCTTCTGGCGGGAAGCAAAGAACTGGGATTCCTATGCAATTTTGCATTTCAATTTCGGATCTTGCAGGGTGAAAGAAAAATTAAATGGCAGGTTTAGCAAAGGTTTAAGCACTTCTGCCATGTTCAGTGTGCACGCGTGACCCTGGAATCTCCACGCAAGTTGTGCACATCACCTTCCTCGCGGACCACTGACTTCTGACTCCCTCAGTTCGCTGGAAACAGACTGGTTAACCGTTAACATCCGTTAATCATCTTTTTCCCCTTGTTGGTTTACAGTGGGGGAGCCAGAATCCCCCCCAACAGTTCAAAGGCTATCCACTTACTATCCTCGGGGCAGGTCCTGGTAGGTGTTCAAGTTCAAGTGCATGAAATCCTCAAAAGCTAAATACAATTAAATACATCTATATATAAATACTGTTTCAGGCCACCACGAAATGTGCCCGACTGGGCACATGGAATACAGGTCCCGCCACTGCATGACAAACGCATGACATGCAAGCACTTCGAGGTTTGACAGAACATAGAACATCTAATCTTCTGATTGCGACATGTTCAAGCACAAAAGTGCAGCAACATAATTCAGTCTTGGAGGTATATACTGACTATAACCACCCTACACACACAGTCCCCAGATCCACTTGACATCAACTCATTGTGTACTTCTTAGTGCTTAGTGGCTTCCTCCGCCAGCAAACATACTCACATAGTCAGTGAGAACATTTACAACACAACAACATCCTTCCCAGCCCTCGCGTGTCTTTCCCACCATGGTGTCGCCGAGAAGCGCGACCAGGGCCATGGCTGCGTTGCAGCCACTGATCTGCCGAAGCTCCTGGCGGAGCCCGAGGAGCCCGAGCCACCCGAGCGACGAGTGACGTGACAGACGTTGGAATCGCTGATGGATGAGCGGTTTTCGGGCAGTGGCGTTTTCGGGTCCCCACGCGATTGGATCGTTGGAGCCACCTTGATACCGCTTGAGACCTGCATTTGGTGAGAATGAGACGCCTAGATCAGCACGTTGGGTGCGGGTCACGGTGGGCATGGGTGGAGCAGAAACGAACAAAGAAGGTCTTACAATACAGGTGGAGGGCATACGTTCTAATTTGGTTCTCCATTGTGTTGGACAAGCAGCATGTTTGGGGGGGATGTGAATTTTTGTGTTGTTCATGTGGCCCCTGTGTTTCAGCAGCTCTTGTGACTATGAATGGTCAAGAATCGCCTCACTGATCAAGCAGAACGAAGAAACATATAGCAAAGCAGGGTCAGCCATCCTGAATCCTCCCAGGTTTTCTGCTTTACTTCCGGTCCGGTCAAGCATTGAACCTTCACTTGGCTCCAAACAGTCGATGGGCCAACTCCCAAGTTCGGCATGGTCAGCAAAATGTCGAATCACACTTCTCCGGTCCAAACCCGCCCTTCTCCAGTGCTCCTGGGGACTCTCATGCCACAGCTGGAGGCCTGAAACCGATGCCCGTGACAGTGGTGGAACACATCGGTCACGCCGGTTCAACCAAACTCTTTGTACACCCTCAATGTAATCATGCAGAATTTCCATGACGCAAGAAGGTCCCAAAACTTTGGTCTCTTGACCTGACTGGGCCCGTCATCCGTCCCGCCGCCTTTTTGCCAGGTCTGGCAGCTTTTCACCAGAAGGCTTAGCTCACCGATGCCCAGTTCGCCGGTCAACGTGCTGGGAAACAGCGAGCTCCCGAGCTGCAAAACGCTGGACCAATGGCCCGCACGCAGCCGGGAAGACATGAAGTCGGTCCAGGAATAGCTGAAGACCTCAAATCTCCAAGAACGATGGGAATCCTGCAGTTCTGGAACATCAAGACAGACACATATTCATGATATGTGCCAGGAATTGAACATTGTTGAGCTTGGTGAAGCTGCCCAGATGCCCCATGACTGGACACCAACAAGTTCAGGCTGCAATGCCACTTCTGGTTCCTCAGCTGAGCTGGACACCGCCACCTTCCGGTCATGTCCTACTCCGGGCCGCACCCGGCAGGCCATGAAAGAACGGAGTTTCTTCAACTCACTTACAAGGCTATACGATAGGCTATATGGTGTACTCACGATGGGCTATGACATTACAAGATTACATTAATCAATTTTCGAGAAGCAAAGGACACTTCTGAAAGGGCTGGGCTGGCCCTGGCTTTGAAATGTGCCTCCAATTTCAACTCAATACCGAAATCCGTAAAGCAATAATTGAGTCATATATAGGCTCAAAATTAACCTGGCTCCAGGACACGTACGAGTCACTATAGTGCCAAATGTGCCAATAAAAGTATCTGGTTTCCGTGCTTCCCATGCAACCTCCGCTGAAACGACTCGATGACTCGATGATGCCCACCCTGTCGAAGCGAAGCCCAGGAACTCCTCGCATGCCAGAATGACCCTGCTGCAGCCGTAGTCATCGATGGGCATGCGTTGCTCAAGGGCAGCCACCACGAGCCGAAGCGCGTGCTGCCAGCGTTGTCCCATCCATGCCGCCGACAGTTGCGCATTCAGAAGGAGAAGATCCGCTTCCGAAGAGTGGGCCCCCAAGTGCAGGGACAGTGGCCACTGACGGCCGTTGGTTGACGTGGTCGACAGCGCAGTGGTAAAGGCAACATCCACTTCCAGCTGCTCCGATCTCGCTGCCACAAACCTAGGGAAAAGGAGCACTTGCACTCAGTAGTATTGCGTCAGCGCCCTTTTACGGCTAATGATGCTACTGGGGTATACTGGGTAGGAATCAGTATCTAACGCCTCTACCCCGTGCAGCCCTGTGACATCAAGTCAGCGGCTGAAAAATGGTTGTCACTTCTTGTAGACGAAAGAAAACGTGGTGTTCAGTACACCTACTATCGCCGTTTCCTTTGGTTTATAGTAATATTAATATCATATATGGCTTGACGGCACTTGACGGACCCAGAAAGATCTCTTGTTCCTTGAAATCGGTGCGCACACACCTGCGCATGCTGTGCCGTGTGGGGTGAGGAAAGCAAAGGGCCAAAGCTCGAACACTCGGTCACCACCGAGCCGCAGCTCGACAGCCCAGCTCCAATGCTCCAACGAGCTCACAAGGGCGGTGGGCAGTGTGGTCGGCCAACGACAAAGGTGAAGTCCCATGTGCCAAGGAACCTCGATTAGGTCTCCAAACCCATGGAATAAGTTGGTCCAAAAATGAGGTTCTTCTTGTTGAAACAAGGAAGGTGAGAGTGGTGCCACGGCCTCCACGGGCCTCCATGGATCTCAAAGCTTTGCCAAGGCCTGATTTCCCTTATATAATCGTTTGTAAAGTCTAAATTTGAGCGGCAAACTCAGGAAATGTGTGATGAATGCAATTGCCATTGCAGAGCTATACAGTATAGATCAGTATAAGGATGTATAAGGTAGTTACGTAACATTACAAGAGTTGTTCAGGGTCTATAGCATGCCAGGTGTGCAGAATCTTGTTCATCAGCCATGTCATAGGGCCCCTACCAGTGGAATTCCAGGTGTCACTCACCTGTCCCAGTCACTCCACAGCTGGCCGCCGTCGCCAAGGTGACTTCATCAGGCTGCAAGGTCAGGTCCTAGTAGCTTCTTGTTACTAGTAGTAAGGCCAGGAGCACGTAGGCTACGCGACCTTGCTCCGTTCGAGTCGCGATGCCCTTTGTTACTAGTAGCTTCTTGCTAGTGGTTCGTTGTGATACATTCGGCTTGGCTCGACCGTCCGGTGGCGTCCCGACAGGCGAGACCTCAAACGAGAGACGGAGAGATGACCGATGATTGGTGATCTCGTGGCTCAACCTCAACCCCATGGGCCCCAGCTCATGAGTTCAACGGGTGCCATCACAGCTGCCCAGATTGCGGATGCAACATGATGATATCATGTGAACTAGCTCCAGTTGGTCTGGTAACCATGTATCTGCAAAACACTTCTTCACCAACTGCTTCGCGAATTCTGCATCTGAGTATTTGTGGACCGGGACCGTTGACACGCCTTCGTTCGATTGGCCACGCCGTGCATTCCGGACAACTCCTTTCCTTGCTCCTTGCACCGAATGTTTGCGTCATTTTGCATCCCTACGACTCCGCTCATTTCAGTCCAGTGATGTCCAGTCGTTTTGGGTGAGGCATAGCCAAATCATGCGACTCGGGTGGAAAGCAAAGGGGCTAGCTCCCAGGAAAACCGGACATCAGGCGACAGCGTCCTTGAGCTCGGAGAGGTACTTCTGGCCTAGTCTCAGTTGCATGAAACCCACCCCAGGGACCGAAGCTGAGAGAAAGCTAGTAGAATCGCCCCAGCCCAAAAGAATAAGAACATACAGGTCAAAGGCGGCTTTTTCCGCACGCGTCCCAGGGTGATAGATCAACCATTCCACGAAACATGCTGGACCTGTGTGGAGCATTGTGGAGCCACATGGAGCAAGTGCACTGCAAGCAGTGCTAACCACAAAGTCGGATCAGTCCCGGTGACCCCATTGAAGGACAGCCTCCAATCATCTCCAACCCTTTGGCCACCACTTCTGGCCCCTTCTCTGAAGTCCTTGGCCTAGTCTCAGCATGATATGCCAGGCTAGGTCTATGTTGCTTTAGTATGCTTTAGTGGCGTTTTCCAGGAGTGGACTCCGAAAACTGCATCGAGGCTAGATGGGTGTCATGAGACTCTCATCTGCAAACTGTGAACAATGCCAGATGCACAATTTTACGGGAACTCAGTCAGTTGCAATCCTTTGAGTCAGCCACAAACGTGGGCCTGCCCCAAAAAGCACGTCTTTTGGCCACTGGCTTCCCCTAGCGTTTGTTAAGAACCAACGGTCCCTGGGAGGTTCCCGGCGCCTCGAGGCCATGGGCTGTCAGCCAAAAGGGTGTTAAAGCCAATGAGGTCTTGGTGAATGCGCATGCCTCCGGGGGCCGTCTTTTTAAAGCAGAACCTACAACGAGAACCTACCAATACTACCAAAAGGTTGGCGCAACATCACCGAAATGATAAAGTGATCAACACATGTTGGCACGGACAAAGCCCTAGATCAGCTGGTTGATGGTATAGGTTATCCACCTGAAGTATTTCGCAGATTAGCGCCTGGCAATTGGTACATCATGCTCGAAGCCTTAGCACTCTAAGTGGCCAGTCAAGGAAAAAGAAACCAACATTGATGACGTGGGGCAAATCAAAACAATATAAATAGCAATACCTACAACATCCTACAACCTCGTCTTTTTTGCTTTTCTTTTTGGAGGGGTCGGTAGTTCAAGACCTTTATTTTGGTGTGTGAACCACATAAAAATCCGCAAACAAAATAAACAGCCGCTGAAGAAAAAAACACGCTCGGGTAAAACGACGCAGGTGGTTCACCAATAAACGCCTGTTACTTGTGAAAAAACACCCGTGGAATATCATAAGCAAACAGAACACTAGAGAAACATCGCGGACTAAAATACCGAGCTGTGACTCCAAAAGATTGTTTTCAAGTCGCAAAGATTAAAAACACACACTTGGATTGTTGCTCGCAAGAGCTAGGATCAGTATGAAGTCCCCCTTGGCTTGATGAACGGAAAGAAGCACAAACCGAAAGGTGATGAAGTCGGCGAACTTGAAGATGTTTAACAAAGTTTGGAAAGGCACTAGCCGCTTACTGCAAAACACAGGACTGGACAGCTTGTCAACAGTTGAAATAGGTAAAAGCAGGTACGTGAACCTGGCGTCCCAGGTTCATATCCTCCCCAAACATCAGTAGCTTCGTTGGCCACAGACTGATGAATGGAGCTGTGGCCCCCTGCCTCTTTTTTGCGCTGAACAACTGCACCCCTGCCTCTTTTTCGCGCTGAAAAACTGCACGCTAGTAGCGATACCAGGAGCCCTTAGTAGCGAAACCAGGGGCCCCTAGTAGCGTCCTCCCCTGCTGGAAGAATGGTGGTGAAACATGGGTATGGAGAGACCTTAGAGACAGGTGGTCACACACACACAAAAGGCCGTGATCGGCGCTCCCTGTGATGGATTGGGCATGGTAGTGCGCGGGAACAAAGGGTGACCGGAACATGCAGCTGGTCTTTTCAAGTCTGGCTGACATAGGGGAAGATCATGCCCTTCTTGGACGTACAGTTTCGTTAGCTGAGCGAGCGCTCACCCCTGCAGGGGGAAATTGCCCCCTGCTGAATGCCCAACTTGCAAGATAATAGCAATACCAGGAGCCCTTAGCAGCGTCCAAAAGCCTCGTAGTACGGCCAAGAGTCTGCAGTGGTATGGTCCTTGCTTTGGTAGCGAAGCCAGGAGTCCCTATAGTAGCGCCCTGTATGCCTCAAAAGCCTATCGGCGCGCTCTTTTTGGCTTTGCGGATGGGGAAAGAGACAGGTGCAAAGGGTGCAAGGCGGGGGGGGTCGGTGGGGGTTGGTGGTGGGGGTTGTGTCTGCCCGAAGGCGTGACGAAAGCCGTAACCGACGCTCGCTAGACTGAAAGAGCCTCGTCCGAGCTCCCCTGCTGAATCCCAAGCTTGCAAGCTAATAGCAATACTAGGAGCCCGTAGTAGCGTCCTTACTGCTCATATAGCACGGCCAGGAACCTGCAGTGGTAGCGTCCTTTCTTTTTTTGTAGCGAAGACTGGAGCCCAGTAGCGTCCTTCACGTCTCAAAACCTTAGGTACACACACACAAGCACAAAACCCTCTCGGCGCGCTCTTTTTTGGGAAGAGAAAAGTGCAAGGGTTGCAGGGGGGGTTGTGGGGGTTGGTGGTGGTGGTGGTGGTGTCTGCCCGCTCGCTTGACTGAAAAAGCCTCGTCTGAGCTCCCGCTGCTGAATCCCAAGCTTGCAAGCTAATAGCAATACTGGGAGCCCTTAGTAGCGTCCTTACTCCTCATAGTATGGCCAGGAACCTGCAGTGGTATCGTGGTAGCGATGCCCGGAGCCCCTAGTAGCGTCCTTCATGACTCAAAACCTTAGGTACATACACAAGCATAAAACCCTCTCGGCGCGCTCTTTTTTGGCTTCGCGGATGGGGGAAGGGAAATTTAGAGGCGCAAGGGGGGGGGGGCCTTTTGGGGGTTGGTGGTGGTGGTGTCTGCCCGAAGGCGTGACAAAAGCCGTAGCCGGCGCTCGCTTGACTGAAAATGCCTCGTCCGAGGTCCCCTGCTGAATCGCAAGCTTCCAAGCTAATATCAATACTGGGAGCCCTGAGTAGCGTCCTGACTCCTCATAGTACGGCCAGGAACCTGCAGTGGTATCGTCCTTGCTGTTGGTAGCGAAGCCCGGAGCCCCTAGTAGCGTCCTTCATGACTAAAGAACCTTAGGTACATAGACAAGCACAAAACCTGCTCGGCGCGCTCTTTTTGACTTCGCGGGGGGAGGATAAAGGTGCAAGGGTTGCAAGGGGGGGGGTTGTGGGGGTTGGTGGTGGTGGTGTCTGCCCGAAGGCGTGACAATAGCCGTAACCGGCGCTCGCTTGACTGAAAAAGCCTCGTCAGAGCTCCCTTGCTGAATCCTATGCTTGCCGGCTAATATCAATACCAGCAACCCTTAGTAGCGTCCTTACTCCTCATAGTACGGCCAGGAACCTGCAGTGCTATCACCCTTGCTTTTGGTAGCGAAGCCCGAGTAGCGTCCTTCATGATTCAAAACCTGAGGCGCATACATAAGCACACTTAGATGGTTGCTCGCAAGAGCTAGGATAAGTATGAAGTCCCAGTATACACGCATTAGACCTTGACTGAAGAAAGCGCAAAAGGAAAGGTGATGGGTCCGCAGATTTGAAGGTGTTTTAACAATGTTTTGCAACTCCTGATAGGCTAGGTGACAGCTTAAAACATTCCAACGTGGTCAATGAACATGTGCGACTGAGACATGCATGTGCCCTGCCTTGATTACTTAGCTGAATGAAAGTGATATGTACATGTGTGAGATTCCAAACTGGAGTTGATCTCAGTAAGCCCTGCGGCATAGAATCAGTGGTATCGTGCAGTACCGTGGATCAAAGGGAATCAAGAGAAGTTCAGGACTGCAAAACGAAGCATTCAGAGTGGGTCCGGGTCTGTGCACATGCGGCGCCCCTTGACGGGGATCACACCAGAGCCCTCAGTGGGACCCTGTGGCGAAAACACACTTGGATTGTTGCTCGCAAGAGCTAGGATCAGTATGAAGTCCCCCTTGACTTGATGAACGGAAAGAAGCACAAACTGAAAGGTGATGAAGTCGGCGAACTTGAAGATGTTTAACAAAGTTTGGAAATGCACTAGCCGCTTACTGCAAAACACAGGATTGGACAGCTTGTCAACAGTTGAAATAGTAAAAGCAGGTACGTGAACCTGGCGTCCCAGGTTCATATCCTCTCCAAACATCAGTAGCTTCGCTGGCCACAGACTGATGAATGGAGCTGTGGCCCCCTGCCTCGTTTTTGCGCTGAACAACTGCACCCCTGCCTCTTTTTCGCGCTGAAAAACTGGATAGCAGGAGCCCTTAGTAGCGAAACCAGGGGCCCCTAGTAGCGTCCTCCCCTGCTGGAAGAATGGTGGTGAAACATGGGTATGGAGAGACCTGAGAGACAGGTGGTCACACACACACGCTGAGAAAGTTCCAGGCATTGTTTATATTTACTAAGACCGGAATATAGATGAAGAAACCACATAGCTTAAAGTTGCTTCACTTCTACAGTAATACGTTCGTGATCTTTCAACATTCTTCTATGTCTATGCCCGACTTTTCATCCAGGAGGCTCTTCTCCACTCGGCCTTTCCACAGCGCAATGCCATGTTCGCCTGGCCACGTCCGTATGTCACGTGCAACGGTCGACCAAATCTGAAGGGATGCCTGGGCCTTCAGTGAGCCACTGGGCAGCTGTAAATCCGCACCAGGTTCAGCCGGTCCAGCGCCTCCAGTGTGGACCGTGGCGAGTTCAGCGCCAAGCGCCAGCGGGCACCACGGCAGGCACGGAGCGCCAAGCTGGAAGCGGCAGAGGGGGCGAAGGGCAAACCTGGTCTAAAGCGAAAGCGTCGAGCAGAACTAGTGGTTGATGTAGTGACAAGAGGAAGATTCTTGTTTGGGAGGGGCTGGGGGTGGTAGAGGAATCCGGGGGGTAGTGGTGGGGGTAGCAGTAGCGTTGGTAGTGGCAGTGGCAGCAGTAGGAGCAGCTGGAGTAGCAACAAATAGCAACAGCAGTATCAACCACAGTCGAAGTAAGTAGTGGTTGCTGTTCCATTCTTGAGGTCGGGGTGATGGGGAGGAGGGGTGATGCTGATGCTTCTTGACAAAGGAGGGCGGTGCTGACTTGTTGTCACATTCAATTGTCCATTGTGTTCTTCTGCTGGGGTCTGTCCAAAGGGTGCCAAAGCCAAAGTAAAAATAGCACAAACCCAGGAAGCTTGTGTGCAAAATGCTGGCAGTTGAAAACACTGGCATGTTTCGAGTCAAATTAATTAGTGCTGAATACGAAGTACAAGCTATGTAGAATCGATTGCGTGCACACCATGTTGAATCTCCTTGGGGCCTGCAGTTGGTTCCAGCTTGAAGCCCCTCTGCCAGGCAAAGGCTTTTGATGGGACCAGCTTTGTGCCGGATTGGACGACTAATCCATGCCAACATCATCCAACATCCATGTTCGAATGCAAACAGGCTGAAATCTCTCACAACTCCTTGGCAAATAATAAGCATGCGGTGCCCTCCAACTACACCAGTAAAAACATTAAAAACTAAAGGACAATGAACATACAAAAATGGAACATCAGAATGCAAAAACCAGGTCAGCACCACCCTCCTTTGTCAAGAATCATCAGCATCACCCCTCCTCCCAATTTAATCTGAAGTCCCCGGACCGTCATTCTCCGTGGTCCATCCCTGACATCACTCGACCATCACGGAACCTGAGGTATGAGCTTCTCGTATCATCTGCAGTGCTGCTTCCCAGTGTTCATCTGGAAAAGCTCGCACCATGAGCCCAAAGGAAAACCTCAGGTGAGACCGTTCGAGGTCGGACGCAGCCCGCGACCCCAATTCCTCACTTCCGGTGTCGCCGTAGTGGGAAAGCAGCCAGTTGAGCGATAGGGCTCATTGACGGGTTCATAAGGAAACACCGTTCTATATAGGGTGAAAATCAATGGCAATGAGATGCAATGAGCCTTTTTGGCCATGTTCAAGCAAAAATAAGGAGCAAATCCATGTGACTAGGACAACTTCCGCTTTCTTTCGAGCTTCCGCATGTGCTGGGTCAAGTGTCGGGACTCTTTGCTTGCCGAGTCTGGGTGGAGGCCAACTTTGGGTGGCATCTTTCGCAGCTTGTCAGATTTGTGTGCCTCAGGCAACATTAAGGTTTCTTGTTCAAATAAGACATAAGAGTTCCAATTTCTGGGCAATCCCTGTGCTGATGTTCGTCTTGTCTTTCAGCCAGAAATCCTTCCCTCTCCAAGATATAAGATTATACCAAACATCGAAGTCACACGATACATCCTAAAACCATCTAAAACCTGCAGTCGGGATCTCTGCCCTCGGCGCGGAGTATATCTCCATCAACCCGCCGTGCTCACGATTGTCAGACATGGGGGCCCCACCCAGCTTCCCTCTTCTCCCATGTAGGACTGGCACTTGGAAGGGTTGTCATGAACACCTGCAACATGGAACCCTAAAATACCCTAAACATCCACATAACTTCTGAGAAGGTGATTGGAGACTCTTCTGTGTCGGTGCCAGTTCCAGCGCTCACAGCCAGCGCCCAAACCGCGCGAGGTGTCGCTCGCCCCGGGACTCGTCCAGGCGTAGCCCTTGACGGTGCGGTTGATGAAGCAGCTCGGTGGCTTGAAGCCAGGCGTCGGACGTGGGAAACGCCCCGTTGAAACCTGTGGACGGTCCGACGTGACGAGGTGTACACACCGCCGGTCCCGTGGGTTTCCACTGCTGGCAATGAGTGTTCAAACATAGGCAGTGGATGTGGATGTGATAATTACAAGTAACATGAGGGGGAAAGCCCTAGCACTGGCCTTACTAGGGGCCGTGTCCAAATAAGCTCAGTGGGCCATGTTGAACACTCATGCCAACATATTTTGTGACACTCATGCCGTTTGGACTGCAACTGTAGGGCCTGCCAAACAGTTGCGGATGCTGAATGTACTCTCATCCAATCATCGGCCCATCCTCTCGACTAAAACCAAGAAAACTACACGGTGCGGAGGACGAGCTCACGGCGATCCATGACGTACCGTCAGGCTCCCTCAATGCCCTTCAGAAACCAACTTTGCTCCAGTTAGGTTTACTAAGTTTATTCCGTGGTGTTGCTTCATTGACGATTCAACTATATGACCCTATGGCTCCCTTCGCTTTCTTAACAGTTTCAATGATGCCTCATTTTTTCTTGGCCCCTCTATCTATGTGCACCTAAAGGATGTGCGGTCGAAGTCGAAGTCAAGCCCATGGACGGGCTTGGCCCACTTTTTGAGACGAGCCTTCCAAAATGGGCAGCGGTTCCTATGGACTTTGGAGCGGCATGGGCCAGCATCCTGGCCCCGGTGATCGCGCTGGTTGTGCTGGTTTCGCTGATTGCGCAGGTTACGCTGATATATGCGGATTGTTATCGGCGCAAGTCGTGTGAACAGATTTCTACGCTGGTTACACCGGTTGCACTGGATACGCTGATTGCCCCCGGTCAAGCAGACTACGCTCGTTGCACTAGTCACTAGTCGCGCTGCCCCCTCTAGTCACTATAGTCATCTGGGACAACTGGTGTGCATGCTCATCGGTGTCAGCTGTGATGTCGGCGTAAACGGTGTGACTGGTGCAGCAGTCGGTGGGACAGGTGTCGCCGGTGTAATCGGTGCACCCGCCCGCCCTCCCTCCAATTGGGTGTCAGGCTTTCCACCCTTGGAGTGGAGCACGTGCAAATCGGCAGGATTGGAAATTCAGTGGAAGAAATACCGGACTGGATGTGGCCATGTCTGAGCTGATCTGCAACATGCCACTGCACAGCAAACCCTCTGCCTTCGTCCTATTGGAAGCTAAAGCCTTTCCGCCTTCAAAATGACATCTGCATCGTTGCTGCAAGCTTCTTCCCCATCAACCTCAAATAACCTCAACACAACTGCTGCCCAGAAGCAATAAATGTCTGGCTGAACATGTTGGATGGCCATGTCCAGTAGCAAAGCTCGGGCGCATTGCCAAGATGTCCGCAAGATCAAGGTCGAGTAATCAAAGGCGTTCAGTTGAGGCAATCTCTGCCTGGCGAGGAACGTTCATCTCCATCCAACAAGCCAAAGGAGCATGCCACCAGAGCTACGAAATGATACGAAATGGAATTGATCACCCGGATCAGATTGTGGCTTCCAACCAATCTGCAAACGTACTAACACCCAATTGGTTCAAATTCAAAGGCTGTCTCCACCTGCTCAATCCTGCTCACCCTCAGTGTTTGCTGTCTCCACCCCCTCAGTGGCCAACAGGCCCTGTTTTTTCGCACCTGAGGAGCTCCACCATTGCGTCTCCTGCGAGGTTCCCACCAGCGGATACCAAGGAAAACAAAGCAGCCAAAAGGGTGGGTCTGTATGTTCTACTTGGGGAGCAAGTGAACGAGGTGGTGCAAATCCTGTGTGAAAGCCGAAGCCCAGGACGGGCGTAACGCCTGATTTGCTAGGACAAGTGTCAAGTGTGTTGCATAGGAAAAATTGATCTGTGGGCCAGGTCTCTAGTGGACCATCAAGTGCCACGAGTCTCCCCAACCACATCTCTTCTAGCCTCCCAAATCATTCGAAGTTGCATCTAATCCATGATGTCCAGTGGTAGTCAGTGAAAGCTTTGGTGTCTCGCTCGTCCTCACCATGGTCATGGATCAAACTCAATTTCTAAGACCCAACAGGGCTTGGGGCAACCTTTGAGCCACAGCATGCCACTGACACAACTGAGCTGACTGTTTTCAGAATGCGAATCAGGTGAAACATGGTGAAACATAGTTCGATCCAGCCCCTTGGAGAGTCAGGTGTGCTCGACGGGAGCGCACCGGACTCTCGGAGCTTCGTTCCTCATCCAGTCCCCACTTCATGCCAGAACTGCAAGGGAAAAGGGTCCAACATGGTCCAACTACTTGGTCCAAGTGAAATACAAACAATACTAGGGGCTCCTGGCATCGCTACTAGGGGCAAGGATGCTACTAGGGGCTCCTGGCCTTACCACTATAGGAACAAGAAGCCACTAGGCACTCCTGCTTCATCGATGATTTTGGCTCTTCAGTGACGAACAGCCGGGTTGCCCTGCCCGTTGGCCCTTCTGCCCAGCCCAGTGCCTCCGTCGGCCCGTTCGGCTCATCTCCGAACCAGTTTGGCGCGTTGGGTTTTCCACGGAGCGGCCCGACAAGCAGCGGGTCGCGCTGCTGCCATGGCTGGACGTTGGTCCGGCGGTGTGGCCAAATCGGAGGCATTCCTTCAAGGTGTGTGGAATGGCATGACTGAGGCCCTGTGAACAGCAAAGGGTTGGCAAGTTGGCCGGTTTTGCAAGGTCCAAGGTCCATGTCCTGGGCTGTGCGATGCAAGGGGTTTGAAGGGTGCATCTGGTGAAAATGCTCATCTCGGCAGCTGGAGAGGTGTAGCAATAGTCGAAGCTTTGGGTGCAACCTTTAAATGAGAAAACAATCCTGAGTGAGCTTGGTTGGATTCTGCAAGACTCGTCCTGGAACCAACAGGAATTAATTACTTGGCTTTCAATTGAGTCTCGTGGCTGATCATTGATCTTGTGTCATCTTGGTCCGTGAATCTGTTTTGTCAGCCATAGCGAACGATCAGTGTATGTGGCCCCCCTCTTCACATTGTGGTCAACTTTGATGCACATCTTTCCTACTGAGTGTTTCCGTTCAACGTTGTCGGCCTCGATCGAAAGAAATGCTCTGCGGAGTCCGTCAACTTTGATGATGAGTCTGCCGCCAAACTACGGGGAAGTAGTTAATAGCAAGCAAATGTTTATGAACGGCTAGAACTTTGTCGGAAACGTCGATTGACCGATGAAAGGCATCGTCTTAACAAGCCCGAAATCAAAAGTAAAAATAAACACATATAAACACATTGCCAACCTGCCTTCAAACACTTACTGCATGCCATTCACTTGTTTTTTTTCACATTGCGATACTGGGTTGCCCAGTGGCCACTTAACGTGCCCATGCAAGAAATGCAGTGAAGAGAACTTGGCCCCCGACCGAGCTGCACCTGCGGCACCTGAGGTGGTGGGTCAGGGGAAGACTGCACCAAGTGGCATTCCTGGAAGATCAAAACCTAGGAGCTTGAACCCCCAAACCCATCTATATATATGAGAGTTCAGTTTGTACTTAGGACGTTCCATGATCGCTTGGAACAATCAACATGTTGAGTCAAATGGGACCATCTCTCTCAGTGTGCCCAGGGCCGGAAAGGTGCTCACACCAATGGGACCACTAATTAGCCCTGACAACTCCTGACAAAATCCTCTCCGAAAGTGCAGCCGCCCAAAATAACAACGGGACAAAGTCAAACAATTTCCGAAACCGTCTTGTGAAGAAACCGGTTTTTCCTCCAATTCTCTATGAGGTTAAACCCAAGTTTGCCGCTGACGACTTATGTAGCTATATATTGAATATATATATATATATTGAATATATATATATATGGTATGTGATATGTGTAAGTACATTTCAATGTTTGATACCTGTTAATACCATTGAGCTGCATCCTTTTCAGCGTCGATCAGCTTGGTATGGGCCCTGGGCGGCCTGGTCCGCGGAAGTCGTTCCCTGACGCGCGCTATCGAAGCGCACCGGGGCTGAAGTTCAAACGCTAAGCGTCCTTATTTCAAATCAGCAAGTCAGCAAAACTACGTTGACCCTAATGGGTTTTCCAATTCCTGGCCGCACAATATTTGGAATGTTGGGGGCACAATAAAAGAGTTACAGTATATATTCAGGTTCTGGTTCAAAGCAGGTGCACTGGTTTGACCTCCTTGAACAAGAACAGCGTGACTTGCAGCACAACAACCGCACTCGAAGCAGTGACCCTAAGACCACAAGACTGCACGAATTATGCCGGTTCTGCGGCATCATGCGGCATCCAACACTTCAAAATGAGCCCTACCTCCGAACAATGCTAGCCACTGGTTCGAAGAGCAGCGTTATGGCACCACAAGTGCACACCGGTACAGTATTGATTTGGATTCCGGTGAGCACTGCCAATGTGAGGAACTTTCGAAGTTCACACGCACGGCTTCACAGAATCGAAGTGTTCGAGTGCATCACCTACTCATGTACGTCCTGCATACTCACCAACTTGTGAACTGACGCCCCCAAACCTGCAGTCTTTAACATCAACTCAACCTAAAAATTGAAGAGGTCCCCCGTGCACATCTTGCACCATAGGAAGAATGTGAAAGCAAGCTAAGTGGACCAATGACCCGCCAATGTCCAGCCAGTTGATGATCAATCACGCTGGAACTTGACAACGACAAACAAACACACCTACGACAAATTCTGCGCCAGAACCCTGAGGAAGTGCAAAGACATATGCACGTGCACCTTATACCGAGCCGATACCTATACCAAACTACTCTGGTCTCAAATGGGGGGGGCCTAGCAAAGCCCAGTCGGCTGCCCTATTGTGATTTCGCAATTTCAACTTCAAAGCCGCTGTAATTGTACAAGTTTGTGGTTTCCGGGTACCCCAAGTGGTTGCACTTTGGCAGTTGAGGTGGTGGCATTGAAATAATGCCGAGTTCCAATGATAACGTGTTCCGCATAGTAAAATCTAAAATGACCACACCCGGATATCTTTCAATCAGGTGTGAGACTGTGCTCCGTCATACCTGGAATTTTGGGGCGCAAAAACTAAATCTATTTTCCGCCGCCAACCGGCTATAGTTAGATGTACGTTGGTATCGTTTGGTGGCATATTCCGCCAGCCAGCCGGATAATGGATGATAATAGTGCGGTGGCTGATTGCGGCACCAGAAATCCTTTCGAGATAGCGAAATACAGACCGTTGAAGTGAAGACTGGAAGCCAGACTGCAGGTGTTGACTGCAGGTGTTGACCCGGACTGCCACATGGCTTCGCATCTTAAAACGCTGTTCCACCAAGGGCCAAAATCTCGATACAGTAGCCCAAATTACGATCCTGTGGCCTGTGGCTGAGCCGTGTGCGAGCATAAAGCCGCGGCTCTGTATTTTTTCAGCACACGATGATCCAGGGACTGACGAGTGCACGCCACCAAGCTCGCTGCGTGGGATCTTAAAAACTCCCAATGCGTTGCCTCAAGGCCACGATCGAAGTCTCCCACATAAAGTAGTCAATTTCTCAGAGGCTGGGATGAACATGTCACAAGAGGTTCAAACTTAACCAAATTGTCGACTGGGTCTTCCTTGGGCTGGCTGGTTGGGGAGCAACCTGAGCAACCGCTCTCATCTATTTCGTATTGAACTGGCCGCTTCGGGCTCCAATAAGGACAAACATCAAAGTGTAGTCAGTTGTTGCGTTTGCCACCCCATTGTAAGACTGGGGCAACTCTTCTGGCTAGATTCCGGCTGCTTATATTTAACTCCCAACAGGGAACCAACACATTTAATTTCTGCATGTGGCTCCAATTACGTCATGTCAGATCTGCTGCCGTTGCCACACTGATTGCGCACATCTGGTCTCTTATGGAATTCTTTGACTTCAGTCGCTTGCTTGAGAGCTTGAGAGGGCTCCCTTCAAACATGACCGTCCTGGCAGCTACGGGACAAGGCAGCGCAACAATTGCACACTTAGACAAACTCAGAATCTTAAGTGGTTCGCCTCAATACCGCCTTTGACATTGAAATGTGCTGGAAAGAACTTGAGGGACCCCAATCAATCTGTGTCCCTTCCAGCTACAGACCACTTGGAGGCCGTAAGGCAACAAACACACAATCGACTGCATGTGGATCTCAGGTGCTGGATCATGAGACAAACATTCTTGATGATGCGTTGCGACCCTGACCACCTTCCGAGTCAAAATATATCAAACCCTTCGAAGCAATCGAAACATCCTGTTCCACATCCTGGGTCCATCTCACAAATCGATTCCAGTGATATATTTTACCGCCTGGCCCCGGTCTGCCAGAACTTGTGCAGCTGGGATGGTCGGCTGCCAGTTTGAGCGCATTCATTCGGTGATACAGCGATGCGCAAATCATCACTTGATACAGGCAGGCGCTCCCTCCAAAGCTCTAAGGACATCTCTCCACCGAACGAATGGATCATTCATTCATGACCTCTAAGGACTGCACTGTAGGGGTGACTGACTTCCATCATCACTTCAAAGACAAAAATACCGAAGTGAAGAGAATCCCAAGTGATGGTAAACATACGAGTTTGAATACCGATGTTTGAATCCTATACTTCAGGCATACCGATGACTCAAACATACCGGTGGTTTTTCTTTGAGAATCGATCTGTGAACCGTCCCAAGACGAACATCAAGACCTTCCCGCAAGGGCGTTTCTCGTCTA